ATTATACTTTGGCTCATGGAATCAATGGTAACACAAATGTTAACTTGCTTTACTATGCTTACAATACGTCTACTCGCTATAGTACCCAAACGAAACAATACACTGATAGAGGAAATTTAGACAAGTGAACACCGCGCGGTAATTCCCCTACTCGGTTCTAACGCGAGTAGGGGTGTTACCGCGCGCTGTTCACTAAACGTATGCATTATTTGCGGGAATCCCCGAAAATGCGTTTCGTTTTCAAGCAAAGACAATGTGAGGGTTGCCATTCGTGTAAAAAAGTAAATAACTACCGATGACGTAATCATCATCTAGACTCCCCTACCCCCCATGTCATGAAAAATAAGCAAAGCAAAGACCCCCCGGCCCCACATAGTGCTCACGTAATACTGCAACGGCCCCTTTGTCGCAGTTACAATACCTCCTCGCCCAGTAGCGAAGGAAGTAAAGGCATGTATTTTCCGTAATATTTTCACAAACACCAATGATGGTGTCGCGTGCGCTTAGGCACGACGCTGCCCTGCCACACACGGTGCAAAGGGTGAAAACTCGACAAAAATATATATGAGGGAAATCATTTGAAAGGTTCCTTATGATGTAGCACTGAAATTCGGACTTATGATTTGTTTGCACTGGGATAAAATGAGTTGGGGGGATTTTACGCACCTCTCGATACACGAAAATTCAATATATAGCTTATATTGGTAGACATTTGATGTTTGGATAAGCAGTGACGATTTATTTATGAAAGGATAGCGTTAGGTAGGTAGACTCTACCACATGGTTTGTAGCAGCCGAGGAATCCTGATAGGTATTTATTAAAGCACAGAGCGTTTTCAGATCGCTGTGAATATATTTCGGAAGCAAAGCAAATTTTGTTAGCTTCTGAAACCGTTATACGTTTTGTAAAAATAAGAATACCGCTGAAAATTCGTCAACAAGTCCGTTCAATCCTTTTAAAAATTTAGATGGCCCTGGATTGTGGGATATCGATTCTCTCACCAGATTTTCTAATGTTTTATATCGGCTGATTGTAGTTTTAACCACTAGAACGAAGCTTCTTGCAATGCCACAGAGACCAACTCTGCCACGTCTTCTTCAGATATCTTACGAATCCAGTACCCCCCGGAAGAATGGAGGTTCTCTAATGTTCAGCCCGTCGAAAAAAAAGTACCTATCCAAGACTGACCCTTACAAATACAGACCTATAGCTCTGTTTTCTGTGATCAGCAAGGCAATTGAGAAGTACATCGATCGGGAGCTTCTGGAATATATCAAGCATCATGCTAACCTTAGGCAGTTTAACAAGACAGCCGCGATTTCTACCTGCTGCTTGTCAAAAAGGTATAAAAAATGTAGTGCATAATACTTGTTTCTCTTGACATTCTACTGGATAGGTCTAGATGTTCCTACGGATTTTTATCGATAATCGAATAGTGCATTACTTACTAGATCATTGACACATGATTTCAATGACCCTCCTATATTATAAAATAAACCCGGTAATATCTATAATTTGTTTTTCATATATGTACGACGTTCCAATAATTGTACCACCGAGGAACCACACGTGGACGACGACCAACGACCATGAACCAAACAATGACTGACCTTGTCAAGACGCAAAATCGCAAAATGCAAAGTGCCATGGATTTAAAGAGATCGCACGTATTCCGTTGAAATAAATCAGAATCAAGAAAAAAGAAAATAGTCAACGAACTGACCCTGTCTGGGATGATTCGAAAAGAGGGGATACTCAACCTGAAGGGATCAAAAATAGCTCAGGAAAATTAGGATCTGGGCCAACGAATTGCTAACACATATGGTGTATTTTTTAATTCACCGGTTGAGCAACCGGTGCCACCGGTGGACCAGACATCTGTCCTTTCAATTCAACCGGTTGCTGCCATCACCATACAAAGCTGTCAACAGTGTCAACCATAAGCATCAGTGGTGGAATCAACCGGTGAATTAAAGAATCCACCTTTACTTCCTACACCGCTGGGCCAAAGATTTCGAAAATGAGCATTTATATGTTTAGCTGTTCTATTACTTGTACATCATGAAAACCACATCATATATTTTTTTACCTAACTTCACTCAAATCATGGAGACTAATGCTTTTTTGAGATGTTACACATTTACACAAAAAACTAAGACAAAAATGAAAAAAAATTTAATATCTGTTCTATGATGATTCCGATATTTACGAATATCTTCAGTTCATCGTTATAGAGTTATATTTTGTCTCACCCATTTTCCTTATTCTCTGTTTATATGCTGGAGTATTTTTTTTAATAACGATGAGAATTTAATGCTTTTTGGTAATTTACAAGCCGCGTGTCACAACGGTAAATTGTACTTTTTGCAAGTTTTTGTTGTGCATTTTGATAGACGCATGTAAAATAATCTCATATGAAATCGAATTCAAATGAGTCATTTACGAGTTATTTCATAGAATATGAGAACCGGCACGGGAAAAATGAAATTATGCCGATTTTTTTGACATTGTATTGGTTTTTTGTGACATTATATAGGTTTTTCTATAAAATGTTAACTTAGCACTAGCTGATAGACACGTTGTGAACTCGTTTTGTAGTTGTACGTGTTGCCTAAATGTAATGAGGCTTCAGTTATGAATGTTTGGCTCTGATGTGATGTAAAATCTGCTGCAGAGATGGCATTACTGGAGGTCTAATCTGTAAGTTGTATGTGTTGATGATAATTCATTGGATTCTTGTCTCAAATACACTTACTGGAGATTCAAATCTAGAAATTAGTTGCGCATCCACTTTTTCTTAACCATTCTGGACCTACATACGTAAATTTGCAGAATTTCAAAAATGAAGAGATAAGAAATAATTATATCCACTGTACACTGTCGAATTACAAGTCACATGCATGTTAACAGAAATTACACACAACGCGGGCGCGGCGATGATTTCTCTTCAGAATTTTTGGTGATTTATAACTTTGAACATAGCCGGTCTGAAAGGACAACATATACTAAGTGACATATAAATCCGAACACCTAGTTTAAATGGTTTTATTTTAATAAAATTTTGTATAAGTACTTAATGAAGCATAATAAGTAAATGATACAAATTTCAAAATGATTGCACTGCTTTAAAGCCCTTTGACCTTTAAGAATGTGTGGATGCACCCTGATGTGCTACGCATTCTCCAACGCGCCTAGGCATGCTTCTGATCAGGTGGTCAACGTCCTCCTGAGGTATCTCATTCCAGACAACCACCAACTCCTCTCGAAGTGCTTCTAGAGTCTGAGGAGGACGTTGCAAATTGAGCAATCTCCTACCCATCATATCCCACACGTACTCAATTGGGGATAAGTCGGGAGATCTTGGTGGCCATGGTAACAATGTGACATCATTATGTTGAAAGAAGTCTCTTGTGACTCTTGCAGCATGTGGTCGGGCATTATCTTGTTGGAAAGTTGGATCTGCCAGGGTGTCAAGATAGGGTAAAAGATGGGGTTCTAGAACTTCGTGGATATAACGCTGCGCGTTCATATTACCTCTGATGAAGATTAAAGGTGACCTGGAACCATAAGCTGTAGCACCCCAAACCATAACTCCAACAGTGTGATGAACATGTCTTTCAACAAAAAACTGTGGATTCCTCCTTTCACCACGTCGCCTTCTAACCCAGGCACGACCATCGTGCATGCCTAAACAAAATCGAGACTCGTCACTAAAGACAATACTGTTCCATTCCTGATCCCAGAGTGACCGTTGTCTGCACCACTCAAGGCGATTACGTCGGTGTTCTCGAGTTAAAGGGAGGACCCAGTGTGGCCGGTATGAAAACAAGCCAAAACTTCTCATTCGTCGGTAAACACTTCGCATGCCAATAGGTCTTCCGTGTTCTGCAAACCATTCACTTGCTATGGACCTGGTAGTGGAGAAACGGTCCCTTAAGGCCAATAATCTTAGGCGGCGATCTTCACGGTCTGTTGTTCTACGGCGGCGTCCAGTGCCCCTTGCTCTTTGCGTACGGCCTTCTCGAAGCCATGCCTGACAACACCTGACCACAGTGTCTACACTTCTTTGCACTCTAGCTGCAATTGCCCGAAAAGAAAGTCCAGCTTCTCGAAATCCCACTATACGGCCCCTATCAAACTCACTAAGTTGACGAAATCGTACAGGTCTCCGTACTCTAGGCATCGTAACCGATCGTAAAGGATGTCAAGAACCAAAATCCGCCAACGTTGATTCTTTACTGCGGCTGAAATATTCATTTTTAGAGCGTTAGTGAATTAAAAAAAAGCAGTATAAAAACCGGAATGTCCAACTGATAAGGCTGAACGTTTTTTCACTTGTTATTTACAGTAAGATAAATACATTCATCAACTTTTATTAAAATAAAACCATTTAAACTGGGTGTTCGGATTTATATGTCACTTAGTATATAAACAACCCGTCGGGCACAGCTAATAGAAATACTTCATTGACAGCATATTCAGTAATGATTTTATACACATGCAGACCAATACACATAATCATCCGGATGCGATCTTGCTATTCAACCAACTTTCTCCTCAGAGATAAAAACTACAGACCACAAACACAACATATGCAACCAACGATGCGTGTTGTTTAGTTGAGTAATTCCTCCGTAGATGGACGCTCACAACGATCCTAGTGAGCAAACGTGGAATGACTGTTTCACCCTAAAAACCAGTTTGCAAGATGGCATTTTATAGGCTTTTTTTTTGACGTTTTATAGGTTTTTTACATAATACAAAACTTACTATCTACGATTTTATAATATTGGTGTTATTGAGTTTCAATGTATAACCAATTATATGTATTTTCCCGGAGAATGCCTTTTCCAACAGATATCCAAGAAAGATCTGATTCGAAAAATCCTCGTACTGGATGTCTAAAAGTCCTGGCTTATAGGTGGTCCCAGACACCAAAGGGAGGAAGCGAGATGAGCTCATGTGTGAGCAAGAGCAAAACAAGAAGTAAACAATATGGCGTCGATAGTGTCGGAAGATGATAGTTCTAGTGCAGATTTTTCAGATTATTCCCAATTTTCGGAATCGTGGGACTACGATGTGTATGAAAAAAGAGAAAGAAAGGCTCAAAGAATAGTACCTAATGGAAAACCCGTTAATATAGTTACTAATATTCTCAATCGACAGGTATGTTTGTGAATCCTAACCTCAAAGTCGTACGTCAAATAAACAATACTTTTGAAAATTTTCAGTTATACGGACGGTTTACTAGGAATCCTAAGGCAAAGACTGAAAGAATATTCAACGACGTTCACCCTAAAAATAGGTTTGCCCTAAATTCGCTTCTTGAAGAGCATGAATACCTGTAAGTGAAAATGGTGTACCTTTAAACCACCTACTCATTTTGAATCTTCCAGTACTCACATTTACATGGGCTTTACTTTATGTGGACGGTACTTTGTTAGCTATACGGAAAAGTTAGTTGAAGAAGGCTTAGGACTCATTGACTTTAATGCTTCATATGAATATTACTTACACCTTTGGAGGTTTGTCCCAGGAATGAAGTTGCAGTACTTGTCCAAGCACAAAATCTTTAAGCATATCAATGGTCCTTATTCTATTGATAAAGTAATATTCATGCAATCCCCAGGAGACTTGTATAAATTAGTATGCTACGGAGTAGGGTAAGTATTCCTTTTTAGAATATGACAAGTAATATTTTCATACTTGACAATTAGCAATAGACATTGTATTCTTTGTGCATCAAAGAGTGCAGACACATCAAGCATTTCAGGTCATTATTCAATTTATCTTTACCTCTCAAGCCGCAATCATTAACAGGTTCAGCGCCACGGCGGACACCGGTTTTATGTAGCAATGTTTTCCAGAGAAATCTGGTGACATTCTTATTGTAATATCAAATAAATATATTTATTTCACTTATTTATTTATCTATGGAGATAAAATAAACATTTAATAAACAAAGTATATTGAACAAAAAAGTTTTGCAAATACATATCTACATTTATTTCGTACAAATTTTAACAAGTTTTGTGTACTAAATTAAAACATTCCAGATAGAATCTAGGCTTATCTTCGCACTGTGCACAATAAATGATTACTTTTTTAATTTTTTCAATAAGTCCATCTTGTTTTTAGTTGTAACAACCCTTGCAGTACCGTCTATTTTTCCGTGCCTTACAATCCAGTTTTAGTAATACGTGAGCCCTCAAGTTCACTTTTACAGGACATGTACGGTCATAAGTGTAGCCATCTTCGAATTTCAGCAATTGTTCAACAACTGCATACCGAAAATTATTTATGGAAATGTCACTCTGTTCGATCTACCTGTAAATAAAATGGGCATTCACAATTGATGTACCTAAATTTCAATAGCAGCTTACTTTCATAGTCGTTTTTTCTCTCCAGAGTTAACTGTAATATTCTCTTTGATCGTCCATTCATTTTTATTTCAAAAAGTTTCACTTTACGCTCAAAACATCAGTAAAACGGTGCAACACATCTCACTCGAAGCGACGAAAAACTAATCAATAACAACCTGTATCGGCAAGTAAAGATAGATCGGCTCGATCGTCGACCACTCTGGGAAGTATCGTGTCCGCTCGTTCTAAACATTTCCGGAGGGCCATGGCGGACACCGATGTCCGCTTTATTTTTTTTAAATCTATGCGGAAAAAATATCAAATATCGAGGATTTGGGGTTAACTAGACGTAAATTTTTAAAATTTGTTAAAATATCACATTGGTCCAGGGACATATTTTGGTGGAAAGTCCTTGGCGCTTAGCCTGTTAAGTACAACTTAAACATCTTGGAAAAGATATATCTCATGTTGTGTTAACAATTTGGGCCTTTTGGAGATTTATTATGGGTTTGTTCTGTAACTTGTAACAGACACAAAGTACTGAAAATAAAGTATTGAACATCAACATTAATGGTGTCCGATTGCAATGTGATTTACATATTTTTATTTTAATGATTTTAGATCTACAAGTCCTGACTTAGTATATATGTCAATTTTGACACTACCTGCTCCAAAGAATTGTAAACATTGTAATGCTGGTTTTTTACCATTTGATGGTGAGTATAAAATATTCCTTTAAATTTTGTGAAGGGAAAATTATGATAACATTGGTAAAAATTTGCCACGTTATGTCTATGGATACCTTATTAGGCTTGTTGATCACTTAAATGCTCAACGAATGTTTCAGAATATTTGAGGTCGGAAAATTTTTAATTTCAAAGTAAAAATTCTCTTCAGATGCTAAACTAGATTGTGTACATTAGTTATGCTCGATGATCTCCAGAGGAGGGCTGTCGGAATGATCATGAACAGTCAGTCTCGGGACCCTTTTGCACCGGCTGGCCGTCAGCGATATAGCTGCCTTCTACCGCTACACTTTCTCAGAACTCTCTTCCATGTTGCCGCCGCGCGATGTGCCTGTCATATAGACCCGCCTGACTGTGGCCTCCCATTCTAACCGTGTCGAACTTCGTACATCCAGAACTGGCCGATACGACCGCTCCTATGTCCCGAGGGTGTCGAGATTGTGGAAGAGGAAGCTTTTCCCAGTTCTACTAACCTTAGGCAATTGTATTAACAAAATCATCATAGCAGTCGCGATGTCCCGGCATTTAGGCTTCAGCCTGCGCGGCTGCTTCGGTATAAAAAAAATGCAAGGTTTCTTGACATTATCTTTGTCCAAACTCCAACCTAAAGGTACTTGTTGAAAATAGCTATTATTACTTTACGGCAGAGACATGCTGACTCTAAAGGCCACATGACCCTGCAACAATTTATGTTACCTTTTCATTCTATTGGTCAAGTGAGCTGTCCAAATCCTGGTCCCAGGACACCTTAAACTGAAAACAAATTTGGGGTAGGCTCTCAAAAGGTAATCCTAGACTTATAGACATTTGATATAACCTGCATTTGGACTATGAGTTTATTGGTGGTATGTCTGTAAGTTTAGAGTTCAACCAGACTCAACTGAAAAGTAAAAGAGCCTGAATAATGGCCCCATGGTGCTTTAGACCATGTTAATTAAAAAAAAATTAACAGGATGGAACTTTTCATAAGATCTAGGTTATTGTCATTGTACTTTAGTTGTTGAACCATTGTACAATAAACAGGAATTTAAACATATAGTAGTTTAATTCACCCAGACAATAGAGTTGTAAGATCTAACTAGTCTCCAAAGTTTATGTATTGTGAGAATGATCTTTCAAAGATATAAAATAGTATTGTATTTTGATCTACTGAACATGTATAGTACCTGAGATTAAGCTAAAAACTTGTTAATATGCTATTAATGAAAGGTACTGAATAGAGATATTAGCATTCTGCATCGCTTTCAAATCAGTTGGCTTGGAGGTACAGAGATGTATCAGCTTTTTGACATAACTCTGAGAAAGACACCCCTATATCTAACATTGTCGATTCACAATGCCAAGCAATGCATATACAAGGTGTTTCTCAATGATATGCTAATATTTAAGAAAGTGAATCTTTGAGCCATTGTAAGAAACAAAAACATATGAACATATGTACAGAATGTCTTAACCTTTGAGATTTTTTCTGTTCATCATTGACTGTCAAGGCGCTCCGTTTTTATATTATACGAAATTGCGTTACTCAATTTCATTCCCAGTTCGAACTGTGGCCTGGAATTTTTGTGAAAAGCTGTGACATACATGGCATTTGAATTTTCAAAAAAATATTAATTTTATAATAACTGTGATAACTATTGTAGATATACTAAGTGACATATAAATCCGAACACCCAGTTTAAATGGTTTTATTTTAATAAAATTTTGTATAAGTACTTAATGAAGCATAATAAGTAAATGATAAAAATTTCAAAATGATTGCACTGCTTTAAAGCCCTTTGACCTTTAATAATGTGTGGATGCACCCTGATGTGCTACGCATTCTCCAACGCGGCTAGGCATGCTTCTGATCAAGTGGTCAGTGTCCTCCTGTGGTATCTCATTCCAGGCAACCACCAACTCCTCTCGAAGTGCTTCTAGAGACGTTGCAAATTGAGCAATCTCCTACCCATCATATCCCACACGTGCTCAATTGGGGATAAGTCGGGAGATCTTGGTGGCCATGGTAACAATGTGACATCATTATGTTGAAAGAAGTCTATTGTGAGTCTTGCAACATGTGGTCGGGCATTATCTTGTTGGAAAGTTGGATCTGCCAGGGTGTCAAGATAGGGTAAAAGATGGGGTTCTAGAACTTCGTGGATATAACGCTGCGCGTTCATGTTACCTCTGATGAAGATTAAAGGTGACCTGGAACCATAAGCTATAGCACCCCAAACCATAACTCCAACAGTGTGATGAACATGTCTTTCAACAAAAAACTGTGGATTCCTCCTTTCACCACGTCGCCTTCTAACCCTGGCACGACCATCGCGCATGCCTAAACAAAATCGAGCCTCGTCATTAAAGACAATACTGTTCCATTCCTGATCCTAGAGTGACCGTTGTCTGCACCAGTCAACGCGATTACGTCGGTGTTCTCGAGTTAAAGGGAGGACCCAGTGTCGCCAGTATGAAAACAAGCCAAAACTTCTCATTCGTCGGTAAACACTTCGCATGCCAATAGGTCTTCCGTGTTCTGCAAACCATTCATTTGCAATGGACCTGGTAGTGGAGAAACGGTCCCTTAAGGCCAATAATCTTAGGCGGCGATCTTCACGGTCTGTTGTTCTACGGCGGCGTCCAGTGCCCCTTGCTCTTTGCGTACGGCCTTCTCGAAGCCATGCCTGACAACACCTAACCACAGTGTCTACACTTCTTTGCACTCTAACTGGAATTGCCCGTAAAGAAAGTCCAGCTTCCCGAAGTCCCACTATACGGCCGCTATCAACCTCACTAAGTTGACGAAATCGTACAGGTCTCCGTACTCTAGGCATCGTAACCGATCGTAAAGGATGTCAAGAACCAAAATCCGCCAACGTTGATTCTTTACTGCGGCTGAAATATTCATTTTTAGAGCTTAGTGAATTAAAAAAAAGCAGTATAAAAACCGGAATGTCCAACTGATAAGGCTGAAAATTTTTTCACTTGTTATTTACTGTAAGATAAATACATTCACCAACTTTTATTAAAATAAAACCATTTAAACTGGGTGTTTGGATTTATATGTCACTTAGTATATCTTTATGAAATTTGATATGTATTTTCCATGCATCAAGGTGCATTTTCAGGTGTACAACAAATTTTATTACTTCTACCAGTGGCGTTTTGCATTGAATATTTCTGAAAAAAAAAATGAATCGTCACTGCTTTCTCTTTATGAAAAAATTATTTTTCAAATCTTCATTCACTTCTCAGCTAATCTGATCTCTTAATTTTTTCGTCCGTCACATGGTTTTTGCTGAAAAAAAAATAAAAATCGTTTTACTTCAGGGAGGAGATGCTGTGACTCCTAAAAGAAAATTGAGTGATCAAACTTGTTCGATAATGAATGAGAACGCCAAACAATATTTTTTTATCAGATGCACCATTCTTGGTATCAATCCAACTCAACCGATTTCACCCTTAAGTAAAATGATTTTTAATTTTTTAAGCGACAATCGTCGGACGAAAGAGATCAGATTTGCTCAGAAACATTGGGGGTTTGAAAAACGGCTTTTATTTAAGGAGAAAGCAGTGACGTACCATCCTTTTGCCCAAAAATATTCAATGCAAAACCCGTACGGACGCCACTGGTAGAAATAATGAAATTGTTTGAACATCAGAAAATGCGCCTTCATGCATAGAATAAGTTTACCAAATTTCTACAATAGTATCACAGTTATAAAATACAAAATATATATTTTTTTGAAATGTATCTCAAAGGTTAAGACGTTTAGGACATGCATTCTAATGATTTTTTTGTTTCTTAAAATGGGTCCAAAAATCACGTCCTTGTATAGGCATCCTCCTGCCATTCTTAATTTTGATAATACTTATGAAAACTATGCTTTCAGAATCTGTGAACCAAGGTTGGTGCATCAAACATGGCTTTATAGTCCATTACATGCTTCCCACCACATCCACCTCAAAGTTTGATCCTCACATCTCTTTGGCCTACCCGAACCACCTAGTGGTTAATACTGGCCACCATATTCACATTCTAAATGTACAGTCGACTGAACCACCTCAGGCTTCCAATGTTTCTCTTCCTAGTTTGGTAAGTCAAATGTTCATTTTCATATACAGCACGCGGCAGCATAACGTTTTTTAAATATTGGTTGATTATGTAGCATGGCGCTAGTGGTCTCGTTCGAGAGACAGGACTGTATCAGAGACTGATATATATATATTTCCATAACGCTGTTTCTCTTTATATCCTATGTATATTTTTTTGTAACTGTTACAAGAGCTGTACTGTGATTATAATCAGAAATATAGGTCGTTTTTATTTTATTTTGGACATGATCCACTCTGTACTTGAACTGTTCCATATGTTGCACTTTATCAGTTGAAAACTAGCCTAACTTTCTGTTTATATTTGCAGGCAAGAGAGGATGACAAGACTTCTCAAACACCCACCCACACCTTTACCGATACGCTTAGTGAGGCCTCAGAAACCCCAAGTGAATTTGGGCTTAACAGCACTGTTGATGCCATATTAGAAGATTTCAGCGAGTATGATCTGGAATCTAATGAGTGCAGCAAGCCATTTCACGAGTTGAACATTAGCTGTGAACCTTTGAATGTAACAGGTAAATAATTCATTCCATTGAACCTTAATGCGGGGCTTAGGTCAAAAGCCCCCAGCGCAGGACTCCCAAGAAAAGAGGCCGTCCATAAAGTCGAGAACCGACAGTTGGAAGAAACGTCCACCACGTGCTTCCGCAACGCGTGCGCGATCGAGTCAAATTTCGGGAAAAAGGGGCAAAATTGGGGAGGGGGTCAGCTCGTTCGGCAGCACACAGTCGGGGAATGCGCAAGCGGCCTGAACCACGCAGCGCCACGCCAGGCCTTCGGGCGGGAGAGGAGGGAGGAGCAGATTGCTCTTCCCCCCACTCCTCAAGGGTTTGAGGTTGCCTGGAACAGGGGTGGTGGAGGGACCGCACAGGGTAGGAGGGTGTGTGTTCATTCCATTGTGTTTTGTATACTTCAATACCCTTCTATTTATCCAACAATGTCAATTGCTATGAGGTCTTAAGCATCATTCTTTCTCACCGAAAGCAGCTGGCAACGACAACCCGACTCAACAGATGTATTGACATGCAAGTATTCACACCAAAAAGATGGCGAGATCCAAAAAACCAAAACAGTTTTAGTGGATAACTGATTCATATCCATTATTAAGGATATTATGCAGTATCACAAACTGCATTTAATTGTTGCTTATATCGTTTGGTTTTAGTTGTACAACCTCTAGAAAACAGATACCGTGAGATACATAAGGTGTCACTACTCAAAAAAATTGAGCGAGCAAGAAAAACATTCAAATTTTCATGCGATTTGTGATTTTTGAAAGGCTGTATATTGGTGAAACGTGGTCGTATCTAGATTTAAAAATTGCATTTTGAAGCTTTAAGATTTTATTTTTGTAGGAGCAACGTTCTCGTGCAATTCTAGCAGCACAAGAAAAAATGTTTGCCTTCTTTTTTTTAGTCCCCACATAGATGAGATGGTCCGTTTACTCAACTTCAATGTCCTGTTTTTAAAATCTGGGTGCGATCATTTTGCGTCCATCTGACTTTGAATGAAAAAGGATCCTTTTGTCATCGACCTCTGATATTGCGGTAATCAGTGGTCGCACAGAGAATGTAAAAGGGTATTTCCGTAAACTGGAATAAACCTCCCATAAGATTTGATTGCAAACTTTGAAGATTTTTTTGTTTCTCTATTGTTGATTTAAAAAAGTAATAAACCACTTTTTGTCTTGTTTTGTAAAATCTACCGCATTATTTAGGACTGCTAATCAGAAGGCTAATGTTTTTATGTTTTTTATACCTCAGTGTACCCCTATAACCCTGCAGGACTGCAGATCGATCCCTCAAAAAATCTTTTCTCGGTTCTGGTCAACATTTTGGTTTTTTGGAGTATTCCATGAATAAGAGTCACATTTTTCCAATTGCCTTTTTATAATTGAACGTGTTCCGATATCCAATAGTGACAACAAACGAAGAAAAACTATTTTCCATTTTCAACCAGATTACACGATGTTTTGGTACAAAAATGTTGCTCCTTTGATTTATTTCAAACTTTTGACCAGTCGGCCCGGAGAAACCGTTCAGTGGATCGATCGTTATTAGGGATACATTGAGGTATAAAAGAACTTAATAATATTAGCCTTCTCAGCTCTGCAACTAAATTAATAATGAAATTGAACCTCCATTATTGAAAGGAAAATGACCAGTTTTGATGTTCGTGAAGCAGTGATTGTGCTCAGTATCTTTTTCTAAAACAATGGTTGTTTAGGAACAAAGTGAGACATACAAACAAATTTAAAAATCCCAACATCATGGAGCCTATATACCAGAAGAAACTACGGCAATGCTGTTCGATATGTTAGAACGATCGCGAAACTTGACGCCTGGAGTACCAGTGGTGCTTTGACAAGGTTGCCATGTTGGGGGATTTTCTCCCAAATTTGGGGAATTTTTTGTGGATATGTTTTTTATTGTAGTTAATTTTTATGAAAGATAACTAACGCATACCTTGTACAGCCTTGAAGGCTGATAAAACAGCACAAAGTACCACTTATCATCAAAATCGACCACTGCAGGAGTGTAAACAGCTGTCTGCTGGAACTTTTCGCATTGTTGCCCAGCTCACTACTATGACCGCTAGGTGTCGCCGATTCTGGTACTATAGTAGATATGGTCTACTCGTGATTGAACAAACTAGTAATACAGCTCCTACCTGAGACCAAACCCAGAGAAACAGCACGAAACACTGTCCATGCTAGGCCGGACGAAAGCTATATCAGAAATCATATACAGGGTGTTTAATTTATTGTTGCATAACTTTAAGATTCGATAGAACTTTTAAAATCAATGCATAAAGTCTGACGCAATAGCAAGCTGTATAGTTGAACGTCTTTGTTCATAAATCAATTGCAACTAAACAAAAAAATATCAAACCGCTATAGTATATCAGTCTTCTTTTTTGGATGAGTCTATTATTTTTAATGTGCAACAATATACAGGGTGTTTCATTTTATTGTTGCATAACTTTAAGATTCGATAGAACTTTTAAAATTAATGCATAAAGTCTATATAAACATGGGTCGAAAAATGCGTGGCGTCCGAAATACAGGGTGTTTATATTTACTTTCTAAAATAGTTTTTTTTAAATATTTCGAACAATATTTGATGTATAATAGTGAAAATTGGTGTACAAGGGTTTTTTGGTACGACAAAACGAATCATGGGCATAGTTTTACTGTAGCCGCTAGAGGGCGCTCTCTACTGTACCTGTAGTGTATTAAAATGACCGAAAAAATTTTCTTAGTGCAATTTTTTGCTTTTTGAATAAAAAAACTGATTCTTCGCACTTTTCAACATAAAAATGCTCTCCTGTAAGTGTTCGTTATAGTTAGCCGTTTTTGAGATATTTCGATTTTTAAGGTTCGATGCATTTTTAATTATTTATGGGAAAATAATATTTTTTTTTACATTTTCGATTTGGGCATTACAAGTAATTAAGATAATCGTTTAGATTGTGTTTTTAAACACAGCAATAATTCCTGACTCCAAATAAACACAAAAAAACAGAATATTAATTAGTCTAATTTTCCATTATTATTTTTAACAAATTAAATTAATGATTTACAACTAAAATGCTATTGGATAGTTAGGACAAACATACAAAATCTAAAGTAGTTGCTCGAAATGTAAACCAAATTGTTCAATACACAATTCACATCTACGAATGATCGAACGTGGTATAGCATTATTCAAATAAGGACTTATTTCATCACATGCATTACGGGAGTCTGGTACACTTTTTCTTTTAGAAATCCCCACACAAACAAATTTAATGGATTTAGGTCAGGGGATCGTGGAGGCCAGGCGAGTGGTCCTCCACGGCCGATCCATCTTTCTGGATAATTTTCGTCCAGCCAGTTTCTAACTATTCTCGAATAATGAGCTGGACAACCATCAAGCTAGAACCAGGCCAATCTTCTTAAATCTAACATAACATCATCCCACATATTTGCATGTTCAGCCTTTAAAAATTCTAAGAATGTCGCAGCATTTAACCTTGCAGGCAAAAGGTAGGGTCCAAATAGTTGATTACAGTAGATACCAATCCACACGTTCACACTAAATTCATGCTGAAAATTTCTTTCCCGAACTGCATGCGGATTTTCATGCGACCAAATATGTTGATTATGAAAATTTACCACTCCACGTCTAGTGAAGCATGACTCATCGGTCCATAAAACGTTACTTAAAAACTCCCTATTATTATCAGTTCTATCGAGAATCCACTGACAAAATGTGATTCTTCGTTCTCCGTCCCCTGGCTGTAGTCCTTGCACAGGTTGCAAACGGTAAGGACGTCTATGGTCATTTCTAAGAACACGTTGAACATGGCTTGCTGAAATTCCCAAGGCACCAGAAACTCTCCTAACACTTGTGGTCGGATCTCTATCAAACTCACGCAGAATCATACGGGTAAATCTGCGCTGACGAACATTTATGTTTTGATCCCTTTGGAGATTTCCATAACCATTTTCAATTTTATTTGGCGATGCACTCTTACAAATACTGAGCGAGTTGGATGTCGTCTGTTTGGAAATCTTCGTGCGTATTCTCTGGCTGCTTCTGCTGCGTTTCCATTTACAAAGCCATACACAAAATGAATATCCGTTAACTCTTGATTAGAGAATAAAAATGGCATTTTTATAAAACTTACAAAAAGAAAACAGGTAAAAGAAACTAAATTTCGTGCATTCACAATTGCAAAAAAACGTTTCAGGTTTCTACAGACTACAAAACTAACTGTCAACTAATTGACGTTTAACCTTATTCTGCTTTCAATTTCAAAAATATTTGCAGGCACTGCCTACTTCTAAAAATTATGGAGATACTGACTTTTTAACGTTATTTTATCATGAATAATTAAAAATGCATCGAACCTTAAAAATCGAAATTTCTGCGAAGAATCAGTTTTTTTATTCAAAAGAAAATTTTTTCGGTTATTTTAATACACTACAGGTACAGTACAGAGCGCCCTCTAGCGGATACAGCAAAACTATGCCCATGGTTCGTTTTGTCGTACCAAAAAACCCTTGTACACCAATTTTCACTATTATACATCAAATATTGTTCGAAATATTTAAAAAAACTATTTTAGAAAGTAAATTTAAACACCCTGTATTTCGGAAGCCACGCATTTTTCGACCCATGTTTATATAGACTTTATGCATTAATTTTAAAAGTTCTATCGAATCTTAAAGTTTTGCAACAATAAACTGAAACACCCTGTATATTGTTGCACATTAAAAATAATAGACTCATCCAAAAAAGAAGACTAATATACTATAGCGGTTTGATATTATTTTGTTTAGTTGCAATTGATTTATGAACAAAGACGTTCAACTATACAGCTCGCTATTGCGTCATCTTGGAACGTAGCATATTCATACTCTAGAGTTTTAAGTACTGATAAGGGACTTCAAAATGAGGTGTCACATATACTCTCCATTTGATTTGAAACAATTTCCCAGCTGCTATCTTGAAATTTTCAACTGTAATTTTTCCATTAAGATATATATTTATCATCAATTTTAAGCTGTAATTCATCTTGTGTGACTTGACTCCTTCAGAAAATAAGTAGTGGGCGGACCTTTTTGAAAATCACTATATATTTGTCATCTATTGCGAGTGCTAAATAAAAAATATTACATATTTATGTTGATTGACTCATTTAGCTAGATTTTATTTTTAAAATGGGTGGATTCTTCCAAAACTCAAAACAGTTGCGGAAACGAAATCGGGTTGAGGTCGAATTACTTTCGGTATTGGTTCCAACATTGTTTCTGTTACACATTTAAAACTCCACCTCTAACGAAAGACTTGTAGGTTATCACTGCTAGTAACAATTCGGTAACGAATAATTTTCGGTGCAATTTGAGTGGATTATTTTTTATTTTTGTAGGAAAAAGCTACCATAACACCTTAGTACAGAATATCGTAGACCCAAGACTGAAAAGGCTGCAAATGACCAGTAGTAAGGATTACCATTTTTCCGTGCCACAATGTAGTAGTGCCCAGAAACCAACGGAAAAATCTAAGATAGATAAGAAACTGTTGGAGAAAACGTACGAATTTATAGAGGAGAACGAGAAGTACGAAAAGATTAGTATGTTTCGTAAAAGAAGACTGGCTGAGAAGAAATACGAGTTTTCCGAGGATAATAGTGAGAATATAGTACCGTTTTATTCGTTAAGAAGGGAAAGAAGATATTTATACAGGTATTTTGATTTTTTCAAATAAATCGTGTTTTTTTTTGCAACATTTACCTCAAAATAGCAATGGAATTGGATAAGGGGTAGAGCTAGGAACAATAATAAAATATATATATATATATACATATAATAAAAAAAATAAGAATTGAAATTGTAATTACAAAGGTGGTGTGAATAGTTTCCGACCTCAACGTGAAGATGGCAGCACTCGTAAATAAAAGCTAGTGAATTTCGTTGACACTTACTCACCAAAGTTTCAGCCATTTTGGACGCGCAGCTGTTATGTAACAGTCGTTTGAGTGTGTTGATGTGAGTGTTTTTGTGAAAATGGATCAAATCGAGCTGTCGTTAAATATTTGTTGAGAATACGCACGAAGATTTCCAAACAGACGACATCCAACTCGCTCAGTATTTGTATTTGTAAGAGTGTCGTAATCAACTATTTGGACCCTACCTTTTGCCTGCAAGGTTAAATGCTGCGACCTTCTTGGAATTTTCAAAGGCTGAACATGCAAATATGTGGGATGATGTTATGTTAGATTTAAGAAGATTGGCCTGGTTCCAGCTTGATGGTTGTCCAGCTCATTATTCGAGAATAGTTAGAAACTGGCTGGACGAAAATTATCCTAAATCCATTAGATTTCTTTGTGTGGGGATTTCTAAAAGAAAAAGTGTACCAGACTCCCGTAATGCATGTGATGAAATAAGGCCTTATTTGAATAATGCTATATCACGTTCGATCATTCGTAGATGTGAATTGTGTATTGAATAATTTGGTTTACATTTCGAGCAACTACTTTAGATTTTGTATGTTTGTCCTAACTATCAATAGCATTTTAGTTGTAAATCATTAATTTAATTTGTTAAAAATAATATTGGAAAATTAAACAAATTAATATTCTGTTTTTTGTGATTATTTGGAGTTAGGAATTATTGCTGTGTTTAAAAACACAATCTAAACGATTATCTTAATTACTTGTAATGCCCAAATCGAAAATATAAAAAAAAATATTATTTTACCATAAATAATTAAAAATGCATCGAACCTTAAAAATCGAAATATCTCAAAAACGGCTAACTATAACGAAAATTCACAACAGAGCTTTTTTATGTTGAAAAGTGTGAAGAATCAGTTTTTTTATTCAAAAAGCAAAAAATTGCACTAAGAAAAAATTGTCGGTCATTTTAATACACTACAGGTACAGTAGAGAACGCCCTCTAGCGGCTACAGTAGAACTATGCCCATGGTTCGTTTTGTCGTACCAAAAAACCCTTGTATACAAATTTTCACTGTTGTACCTCAAATATTGTTTGAAATATTTAAAAAAAACTATTTTAGGAAGTAAATTTAAACACCCTGTATTTCGGAAGCCACGCATTTTTCGACCCATGTTTATATAGACTTTATGCATTAATTTTAAAAGTTCTATCGAATCGTAAAGTTATGCAACAATAAACTGAAACACCCTGTATACTTTTGTCCATTACTGTATATTCAATCAACATTTGAAGAGCAAAAGTTACAAAGGGGCAAAGTGCCAATATTGTTAGACAGAGAAACTTAAAAAAACCTTCACATACCATAACAAAAAACTCTTTTTATTTTCAAATAACTATCTAACATATTGTGTACCTTCCGTCTAAATATGCTAGTACAAAAACAACAGAAAAGAATGAAAACGTGAAAATAAAAAAACAACTTCGAACTGCTTAACCATACCCCTTACTCACCAGATCTAGCCCCAAGTGACTTCTTTTTGTTCCCTCGTCTAAAAATTGCGCTCGAAGGACAGAGATTTTCGTCAAATGAAGAGGCAATCACCTTCGTTGCAGAGAAAAACGCCCATTACTATTTGGACGGGTTACAGAGATGGGAGCATCGCTGAGAGGAGTGTGTAGAGTTGCAAGAAGACTTGTAACTTTGTTAGGTCGGAAACTTTTCAGACCATCCTCGTATTATGATTTTGAAAATGTATAAACCCCTACTCGATCCGATTATTTTCTTCCAGGTCTCAGAGCCGCTGCATCCGCTCCCCCGACCTTATCTCCCTATTCCTGAGCCCCCGCTCTCCCGGCTGGCGTTCCCCAATGCAATCGCCCAATTCCCGCAACGGCCAGTTCAGCCCGAGCGGGGGCCGCAATCTGTATTGCCCGACGTCAGTTTCTAACTCTCCGCACCACTCGAAGTCCCCGATCAGCCCCAGGGAGTCGGCGCGGAAGTTCCACGTGTACTCTCCCAGTCTGGACAGCGATTGTTCCGATTTCGATTCGAGGTTGATATTGAAGGCACCGGGGGGCGCTAGCATCTCTAGCGGTTCGGGTGATACTCGTACCGGTGGTACCGGGTTGTTGATTGTCGACCCGAAGGTGGAGGCGCCCCCGAAGTGGATCAAAAGGATTGTCAGGCGGTACTCGAATGGGGATTTCGAGAATAGCTCGTTGGTGTCCGGGCAGAGTAGAGGTATGTCTCTTGTTTGTTTAAGATTTATTTAGTATGATTGCTAAAATTACATTCTTCTGAAAAAATATACAATTTCATAACATACAGACATTCAGAAAAAAAAACGAAATTTGCATCTCTAAAAATGTTTATTGTCCATGAAATATTCCTTTAATTTTCTTTGAAATATCTTTAAATTACAAGTAGACTTTATATCGTTGTTTAGTTTATTAAATTCAAGTAATCTTTTCTGAAATATTGATTTGCTAGTTATATTACTATTGCAATTTTCTAAATAAAAATCTATATTTCCTCTTGTATAATAATTGTGGTAATGATTATACACTTCTATGTAGTGTTCTAAATTTTTTTGCAAAAGATGATTTTTTATTTTAAATATAAAAATAAGAACCAAATATGATATGAAATTGTTTGTATTCAATCACTGCAATTCTTGCAACATTGATTTTATTTTGATGTACTTATTTTTATTGAATATTATTCTCATAGCTTTATTTTGCAAGACTTGTATTTTGAGAATACAGCTTCATTGGCAGCGAACAAGATATTTGAACAATATAGTAAATGCGGTAGAATAATTGTATTATAAACTATTTTCTTGGAATAGGTACCAAGACTATGAGAAGCCCTATAAGAGTAATTTTTTTTTTACAATTTTTGAGATAATGTATTCATAGTGATCCTCAAACTTTAATTTACTATCAATATATATACCTAAATATTTAATTGCTTCAACATTTTCAATTGCTTCTCCATTTATCCTAACTGTGATAGTATTTTCATTTAGGTATTTCCCTATTAGCATACATTTTGTTTTAGAAGTATTCAACTTTAGTTTATTTACATTTAACCAATTTACGATTTTTGCCAAGTCAGAATTTAGCATTTTTATTTTCATCTGATATGTATATGAATGTATCATCTGCAAATATCTGAAGTTTACAATAATCTAAAATATTACAAATGTCATTAATGTATAAAATAAATAGTAGTGGATCTAGTTTACTACCTTGTGGTATACCAAAAGTCAAATCGTATTTTATGTTTTCGATATAATATTTATAATAATAATTTATTCACTTCAATTACACATTGTGAACAAATGCATATGCCACAAAAGCAAAATATCCTTGTGGATATCATGCTAACACAACATACATGATATAACATATCAGTTATAATAAACTGATAGGACTAAAAAAAATCTGTATAAGTTTAATATGTACGTTAATTTTGATGAAGAAAATATATGTGTTAGTTTTTATAAATTTTATATCAGTTTTCAAAAGCCACTCGTATACATCTATCTTTAATAATGATATTCTGTTTTTTCTAAAATATTTTGGTAAGTTATAATTTTGGACCTAAATATATAGAAGATTTCAACATTATTTCTTTTTTGGTGTTGCGATAATTATTTGTTTATTTATATTTCTAGTATCATATTCATAATTTTTATAAATGGTCGAATGTTTTTATGGAATTCTAGTATAACATTATACCAAAATAATTTGTTTATATCTAAAAGTTTTGATTCTATAAGCAGCGATTTGAAGGGATATAGTGAAGATTTATTATGAATAGTTTTTGTATTACTTGTGATGAATTTAGATGGTTATGTAGCATTCAGCTGTTTGATACAAAATTTTTAATTGAATTGATTCTGCTGAAATTTAGCAATATCATTTGTTGTATTAAGAGGCTAATTTAGCTATGAATTGATTAAAATTATTAGGTCCAGTGGCGTCCCGGGCTCACCTTAGCAAACATTATTTGCTAAAAATATACGCCATTGCCTTTTTGTAACCTTAATATTTGTTGCTTGATTAAGCACCTAAAAATACAACTTCGTTGCCTCTTGTATTATTTTCGTATGTCACTTCGTTTTCGAGAAAAAAAATTAAAACTGTTTTATTGCATGTCACTGGACAAAGTTGGTTTAATAATTTTGACTAAAAAATCACAAGTTAGTGTCTTGGAAAGCAAAAATCAAAAAAAAAATCTAGGAAGGAGTGTTATTGCAACTTTTCTAATAGGTACCATGACAAAGTGCACTACAATAAATTAATAAAAAAAAATTAAACATATCACTTTGTCTCTTGAAAAGTTCGCATTCCCGCACCAATGTTTCTACAAACTTTTTTCATATGTTTTAACAAGGAATCTACCTCTAAAATATCTCCGTCTACTTTTCGAACACCCTGTATACGTATTTTATCCATTCTTTTAGGTTCCACAATCAAAATTTTCGCTTTAATTTTTGACCAAAAAAGAAGTAGTTGGCTAACATAGTCACCCATTATAAGGTATGCATTTTTTACGTTCTTTTCAGTTTTGTGTTGTTCAAATAACGGATTCTTGTCCGGAAAATTTGCAAAAATCTGAAAAACCGCATTTTCACCCATTTTCCGATTTTAGGAATATTTACAGAAGGAAATCCTCACTTGCGTAACCCAAACGCTCAATCCGCATAATAAGTATTTTCAGGTTTCATTTTTTGGCTGGAAAATTGCTGACGTTTTCGATTAGACTAACACAATAACCTACTGTATATTTGAATTATTCTACATTACTTCCAGTTACGTTGTCAAAATCAGGACTTCTTGTCTGCAAAACCGTTTCCTGGACTTTGACCTTTTTAGAGTAGAGTAATTGGCTTAAATTTGAGAAAATCGATGAAAATGCGATTTTTCCGATTTTAGCAACAAAACTGAAAAGAACGTAAAAAATGCATACCTCATAATGAGTTACTATGTTAGATTTTGTTAGTGGATCTGACAAAAAAACAAGAACTATACCTTCCACAAATCTATAAATATCACGGTTATCTAGGAGACAATAATGAAGCAACCTCAATTCTTTCATAATTATTTGAGCAAAATTGCGTGAAAAATGATTTTATAACCTCTCCAAAAATTCGGAAAAAAAACATATTTTTTTCGAGCCTATACGTTTCACAAACCTAGAAAAATCACGATTATGTAGGATATAGCAATGTAACATCTGGAATTTTTCAAGCAAAATTACCCCCGTAAAAACTATTTTCGAAAAAACACGTTTTTGTGGTAAGGGGTCCTTAGGAGCTATGGATTGTAATTTGTTTTATAAATGAAATGACTAAGTAAGATAAATAAATCATGATTGACTGTCTCTTTTGCGATGATTATTATCTGGGACATGCTCGTCCATAATTATTGTTTAACGCTGACCTTTTCGGAAAATTGATCACCGCAGTTCGTCGTGTGAAAGACTACGTCAATATGCATTCTTTTATAAATGTTGTACTTCGTTCTAGATGACTACAACATCCCGATAGAAATCCCGTTATTGGTCCAGAATCTGACTGAGCAGCACATGGACGTCGTGCCTGATTTCAAAGTGGACCAAGTGACTGAAATGCAACTGATAGTTACTCAACGATCTTTTGACTGTGAACAGTTCGTGGAAGGAAGGGCGCAAAAATTGTGCTCGGATGCTCAACTCGAATTTCTTCATTTCAAGGATTATGATATTAGGATTATTCACGTAAGTACCTTTTAGACATTATTTTCCACTTAATTGCTGGCAGGATCATGCAGTCTGATTTTATATGCCCGAGAAGAAACGTTTCTTGAGGATGGAGAGGCGTTTGATGAATTATACAGGGTAGGGTGACTTTGAAGTTGAGTCATTAATTTTCAGATAATTATTGTAGAGGGAAGATAAACCAAAATATGTGTGTAAAAATAAAAAAAAAATGTTACCTTGTTTTATAAAGTATCCTCCCGACAAGTATTTCAGTGCGGACCTGTATTTGATCGTGCGGTCTTGGAGCACCGGCATGCCCTCCCTTGTGAGGTCTTAAGTCACCTGATTCACGAGCCCTTTGTGTACTACATTAACAAAGGCACGAGGAGGTTGGTTGCACTCGATTGGGAAACCGATTCGCATAAATCCGTAAATAAGAGTCATGTCCACAAGTTCAGCATTTCGTTTGAGCCACGCAACAAACACCACTATTCACTCACGCGTTACCGACTGACACATTGACTGACATCGTGATAAACGTTTCAAATTCTTTCACTTTTTTGTTTCCGATACGATGAACCGATAAGGCGGATTATATTCGTTGTTGCCAAACACGAGCACATAATATTATTATTGAGACAGGGCGGTACTCAAACCTCTAAAGGGCTATAACTTTGTTAATTTAATTTTACCAGAAAAATGTTAAAGGAAAAAAACATTTCTTTTGATCAGATCTACTCACTGTTAAAATAAATGACTCAACTTCGAAGTCACCCTGTATATCTTCTTAAAAATACGCTTTTTTGTGGAATGGTCAAGGGAGGATTTAACGTTTGCATTCTATATTTGAGATTTCTTTGCCGGCTTTATCCATTTAGGATTTTGATAATGAATTTTGAACTGTATGGTTTTTATACCGAATGTTACTAAACAATGCAGATATCAATGTGTTTTTCCATTTTATAGCGAATAGCAGATTCACATGACGAACTAGTTTGAATATAAAGTATTGCAATCTGCACTGCTTGTTGCTCTTGACTTTACATTTTAAGCTATATACGCGTCCCTTCGTTCAGCGAATAGCCTAAGTATTTTTTCGAGATTTTAAGAACAGTAATATCAACTGCGTCCTGCTAAAAATTTCCTAGAAAACATTGGGGTGCAACTAATCTATGAAAGACAAGCGTCATTTTTTATGTGAAATTCATCTATAAGAATGGTGCGGAAGTAGCCTAGCAAATTTTAATATAAATAGAATTCCTAATAGCTCAGCCACCAATTATCAAAACCTGTAAGTATTTTATTTTTAGCAACAATGTTCTTTTTTAGCAGGATCAAACCCAATATTTTATTTTATTTATTTTATTTTTATTTTATTCATTACAACACCCTACAGTAAATACCAATTACAGGGTGAGGAAACACAGAACATAACACAGATATAAAAGACAATAATAAGTAATAAGTAATAGACTACAAAGTGTAAAAGATACATGCTGGTTACTTAAAAGTATTTTTTATGTCTGCAATTCTGCAGTTAAATATATCAATCCTGTTACTTGCAGAATTGTAATTCCTACACATCACATGTAAAGGGGAATAGTGTAAATAATTTGTCCGTGCCGCAGGTAGATATATGAAACAAAAGGAATATGGTAAATCATTCAAGTAATTCAAAAAAAGTATTTTAAGAACTCTTCTCCTTGTACCTTGCAGAACAATCTATGAACAGTTTTTTTAAACTCATAGGCTGGGAGTAATATATCGTCCATACCTGGTTGAGCCACCCCATATGGACAATGATGAAAATTATTTAAGAGCCTGGTATCGTATGATAAAATATCGGCAGGCATAGTATCGAGAAGGCGTTAACGGAAAACATATTTTTAAAAATCGGCCGGATTTTAAAATTTTTAAGTTACTTTTACAATACAATAAGATACTGAAGACTGAAATTTCAACGATTAAGAATGCCAGAAAAAACTTACCTTTTGCTTTGTTTCTAATTTACGTCATTATCCTACGGGGCTTTTTTATCACCAAAATTGAGTAGTTTCATTGCATATTTTTTATTCATTTGACTACCAGTGCCTACCAAAGTGACAGCGTTGTATCAACACAATAATAATCCCTACCGGTGGAAACATCTACCTTCATTAGGCTTGCCCTGCTCTTTTCAAATTTGGAAGAAGTACCATGTCTTGAAATCGTCTAAAACCACAATTATCTGGAAACACTCGCACTGTTCAACAATGCGCTCCTAAACTTGGTAATTCTACGAACTATTAGACATATTTCACATAAATATCATAGCATTAGCCCTTAACACTTAGTACGTACCGGCTGTGTCTGCTTCTGCTCACGGCGGCGTTTCGCCAACCTTGGTAAGTGTTCTGGTATTTATCTTATTACTGCCACGCCGCAGCATAGTATTTCCGATAGACTAATTGTAGGGACCTGTTTGACTGACTTTTTTCAGAGGGTCTAGTTTGAGCTGAACCTAATCCTTTATGAACTGATAACGGCGTTGCGTGGGAAGTGCAGTCAACCTACTTGACGCCGTTTTTTAAAGAAAAAACTTGTTTAGTTTTGAATAGCACAGTTTTCTATAACATTCAAACTTACTTACCGCTTACTTCGAAATGACTATTGGGTTTCAAAAACAAAAAAATACCATGGATGCTACTTTCACTTATACTCAAATTTAAACGATAAAAATTTTTCAGTAGCTCTCTTTTGCGACTTTTCTAAAGCTTTTGGCTGTGTAAGTCATGATATACTATCAAAAAAAATAAACAAATACGGTTGTTCGGGAACTTCACTCAATTGTTTTAAAGCATGTTTGAATAATCGATCCCAAATTGTAAAATTATCAAGACATTATATTTCAAATAAATTATATATAAACACAGGGGCACCTCAAGGATCGCTATTAGGTCCGATCCTTATCAATGATTCCTTAAACTTGAGTATAAATGGTAAATTCGTAGTTTTTGCTGATGATATCGCAATACTTTGGCAAGACAAGAATATGAAATTAAGAAAAAAATTGTTAGTGATATACAATCAAAAAATGGTGTGACAACAATTACTTGACTTTCAATATTAATAAGACAAAATTATGACATTAGAACGCTCCCTTGATTTTATAAATTTAAATAATGAATTGATACACAAAACAGACACCATCAAATTCTTAGGACTGACCATTGATTAAAAACTAGAGTTTGCTAATCATGTAGAAAATTGCTTATTCAACTAGCAAGTATTTCCTTTATTATAAGAACATTTAGTTACAACTAAGGGAAAAGAACAGCCTTAAGCAGTAACGTTGCCTTATTTGAAAGTAGATTAAGATATAAGATTCCCTTTTGGTGTATCTGTTCTCAAAATTGTTTAAAAAAGGTGTTTATTCTACCAAAACGAACTATTACATATACATATAACTAAAAGCAATCGTAGAGAGTTATTGTTCATTCTAGAAACAGCAACTCTCGTTTTTGAAAAATAAATCTAAATTGGAAACATTAAATACAAGTTACAATATAAGACGAAAACTAGACCTCAGATTAGTAGTACCTAAACAACACTTATGAAAGACTCAATAATTTACTTCTAAAACAATTTATTTTCTCAAAAACATTCTAGATACACTTCAGTCGTAAGAAATACATATTTGAAGTCACTTAGACCTATAACTAATAGAACATCTGAACAAATAAACAATATGCAAATAAATGCGCGAAGTTAACAAAGCAACAATTGAAAGATTACCATTGGCTAACATCACCTTTATTTTTTATTACGGCTGAAATTCTTTGGGGCATAGTGTTAACCAAGTTTTGGCAAAAATCCCATATTTCTTGAAGCTTTTGTCAGTTCGGTAATTGTACGAGCAGGATGTTGTCGTAGAACCTTTTTCATCTCTTGCCACAAAGGTTCAATAGGTGACAGATCTGGACTGCTAGAAACCCATTTCAAAAGTGGTACATTTTTTAGCCTTTTTTGAGGTATGGCACGCTGCACCGTCTTGCTGAAACACAAAATCTTGGCCGGATGTCAAACATTCTTCCATCACTGGTAAAAGCGATTCTTCTAAAATTGCCAAATATTTGTTTGTATCCATATTTCCATCAATAAAATAAAGTTTTCCTACTCCTTTTGATGACATACTGCCCCAGACCATAATGGATGCTGGAAATTTCACTTTTCTCTTCAGACAGTCAACATGGAATGCTTCATTTTTTTGCGAATAACTCTACTGCGACTGTCACCAACACAAACTTCGAATCGGGCCTCATCACTCCATTGTATTGCACACCATTGTTGATGTGTCCATTGTCTATGTTCTTTAGCCCATCTAAGCCCATTTTTCTTCTGCAGTGGAGTTAATAGTGGCTTTCCTTTGGCCTATAAACACTTGTGCAACTTTAGGGTTTTTACTTCACTTTTTTTTTATAAGGAAACTTACCTTGCAAGTGCTAAATCCCAGTTTGTGGGCCTCTCTATGAGTTGTGGACCTCGAAATTCTCCTTCCACAGAGCACTTAATTGTAAATAATTGGCACGCCTGTTTTTCACGATTATTCTTCTTAATGCTCTTCGGTCGGCATTTGTGATATTACTTTTTTTCACATATCGTGGCTTAATATTAACTGAACCAGTTACGTTATATCTTCTAAAAATATTTCTCACACTGTACCGCGATAAGTCTAACAAAGTTGCAAGTTCTGAGTTTGATTTCCCATAATTAAAAAAATTAATTATCAGTAACCGAATTTTCTCACTAATAACCTTTCCTCTACCCATTTTGAAAACCTTAACTACCCAAAACTATTTTAAACGTATTCTGACAGCTGTGATAAATAAAAACAATTGTCATGGCTTTTATTTTTCACAGCCACCTATGCGTAATAGACTTATTTTGCATTGAAAAGAAAATAGGTTGATTTGCTGTAATTGCAACATGTGTTATTTTGATGCTGCAAATTTGATTAGGGAGTGATAAAGTTGGTGTTTTCTACTATATATTATCAAAATATTCATTATTAATATTTTAAACCTATAACACCCTGCTACATTTTTATTATTTGTGTTTGATAAGAAAAAAACTAAGATTCCAATAGTTGGGCCAACTGAAGTGGGAAGGGACTCGTATAATTAAAAAAAACTTTTTAATGTGTAAACCATGTTATACCATGTGTGAGTTCTATAGTTATTTTAAGTTTTAAGTTAGCTTGGTCATTAAGAGATTGAGTTCTTCACACAATAAAGCATATAATAATAATAATAATAAACGTCTTTATTTCCAAATAGACTGATTATATAAAAAATAGCCAAATACGGGCGAAGTTCAGCTGTAGCTGCTCTTCCACTTAACCCGCTATAAAAAAGTCTGTACAAAAGGTGAGTGAGACCTACTTATTCTACACATTACAAATATTAAATGTATATGCAGTGCTTACATTAATACATCTACTCATATGAATCATAAACTTGTATCAATATTTTCCTGAAACATGGTTACTACTGCTGGGATAAGAGATATTTTTTAATTGAGTTTTGAAACTTGAGATGCTCAGAGTTTTATATTGTATCGGAAGGGTATTATAAATGGAACAAATTTGGTAGCTGAACGATCGTTCAAATTCTGCTGTTCGGAATATCGGCGGTGTCAGCAACCCCCTGGATCTTATATTGATGTTATGCACATCTGTTCGAAATGTAACTTTTTCAAATAAGTAAGTGGGGGTCTTATACATAATTATTTTATGATATAATGTTGCGGCGTGCAAAAATCTTCTTGTTTCCATGTTCAACCAATTCGCATCTTTCAACTTATGGGATATTCGGTCTCGTCTTCTGATGCCATATATTAATCTGAGGCAAGAATTCTGCGCAACCTGAATTTTTTGTTTGTAAGTGGCAGTTAAGCATGGGCCACACAACATATCAGAAAAATTGAAGTGCGAGAGCACCAACGACTCACATAGATTTATTTTGACTTCAACGGGAAGGTTACGTCTGTTGCCGTACAATATTTTTAAAGAGGAATATGCCTTACGAATGAGCGAATTTACATGTTTTTCAAATCTTAAATTTACATCCAATGTTACACCCAAGTTCTTTGCTTCACTGACAGTTTCAAGTTGTTGTGCATTGATGGTAAAGTTAATTGAGTTAGTAACAGCCTGGCGCGCATGCTTTGGCCCAAATACAATTACTTTAGATTTGCTAGAGTTAAGATGTAAACAATGTTCTTCGGCATTCTTTGTCAATAATGATAAATCTCTGTTGATGGTTGCACTCACAGTGTCCACATCACTGGGTAGAAAAGTATGATACAGCTGAGTGTCATCAGCATAGCAGTGTATTTTGCAAGTATTTAAGCCTTTGCCCAGGTATGAAGTATAAATTGCAAAAAGGAGTGGACCCATAATAGAGCCTTGCGGCACGCCTGATTTTAAGGCTAATATGTCAGAATAACTTCCCTCCAAGAAAACCTTTTGCTTTCTGCTCTTTAGATACTTACTGAAAAAGTTGACACTATTCGAATCGAGGCCTATAAAATGCAATATATTTAGGAGTAAATTAAAATTGATCGTATCGAAAGCTCGACTAAAATCCAACATTATCAAAACTGTACACCTTCCCTGATCAGTGGCTCTGATAATGTCATCTGTTACATGTATAAGTGCAGTTGTACAGCTAAAATTCTTTCTAAAACCAGATTGAATTGGAGAAAGCAAATAAAACTTTGATAGATGTTCCATTAATTGCAACTCAACCGCTTTTTCTAATAATTTTGACAATGCTGGTAAGATGCTTATTCCTCTGAGGTGATTAAAATCTGAAGGATTTAGCTTTTTGGGAATTACTTTTACAACTGCACTCCCCCATGCTTCTGGAAAAACATTTTGAATCAAACAACAATTTATTATATGCCTGATATAAGGAATAACATGTGGACAGCAAAGTTTTATTAGAAAGATACTCAAGCCATCACAGCCTGCAGCATTTGTTTTAATACCAGAGATAGCTTGATATATGAATATTTCATCAATTTCTTTAAATTTGAGTTTGGAGTTTGTCAGACAGTTATTTTTGTAAAAATTTATTAAGGAATCTGGAGGTTCACTTGGGGAGATGGAATTTATAAAAAAATCATTCAGAAGGTTCACATCCATTAGGTTAGGGGGCAATGAGTTACTAAAGTTATTTTTTAGCATCTTGTTTTGTTTTAATATCCTCCACATTTGCTGAGAGCTGCTATGCAAGAACTTATGGAAGAAATACGCTCTTTTCTCTCTTCCAATAGCGCTAGTGACATAATTCTTCTTCTAGTCATATTTATTTATCTACTTCAATTTGATATTTTTCTTCAGATCTGCCCGATGAACGGCCACATCACCTGTCAGGCAGTGATCAAGATCGGCGCGCGATCACGTCTAGGCCCGCGCGCAACTCTGCAAAACCTCACGGCCAATTTTTTGTTCACGTGGAGCATCGAAACGGACGCCTTCGAGCTGTGCGACGGTGGTGGGACGGCGCGGTTAAGGACTTGCGGCGAAGACGATGACGCGGAAGAAGAGGTAGAAACGCCGAAGGTTTCCAATGAGATGTGTGATGTGCTCGTTATGGATTACGTGCATACCGCATCCACGAAACCGGCGCTCAGAGATCATCAGAACTATTATGAGGTGAGGTCCACGTACCGATATACAGGATGTAAACGTTATGGTAGTCATTATTGAAATGGGTAATAGGGGAGGTCAAAACAAGTAAAAAACTTCATATGACTCATGGTCGAAAAGTCAATAGATTTTTGTCTAAATGGCTTTGTAGCTTACAACTTTAAGTGCTTTATTAAATTAGGTAATTAACAAATAAATGGCATTAAGTTTTTCTAAGTTAAGCCAAAATTTGTAGTCAGTAAGTTTCATTAAATTAAATATTTAAAACACACTTGACAACAGTGCGTCGGTTTTTCATCACTCTTATCGAACCGGCAATCGATCGCAAATGGTAACAGTGGTTAGTATGTTGTTTTGTTTTTGTTCGCGTACGTCGTCGTGTTTATTTACAATGTTCTCGAATCGAGAGTTCGCCGACATAGTTTATGGTGAAGCTCGTCGAATTCAAATATTGCAGCACTAATTTATCGCGACCGGTTTCGCCAACGGGTACACCCAGGCAGAAGCACATTTGTGCAAGTGTACCAAAGACTTCGAGATTCAGCCCGCTAATTTTCGCACTCGTGAAAGACAGGTTACTGTAGAGCAGGAGGAACAAATTTTAAATATCGTGGAAATCAATGCAGATAGTCCTTAGAATCCTACGGGAAAATTTGCTTCGTCCCTACCATCTACAACGAGTGCAGGGCTTGTTACCAGAAGACTATCCTCGCAGACTAACATTCTGTCAGTGTTTTTTGCACAAAAACAGTGAAAATCCGGATTTTTTTAAAAACGTTCTAGCGACGAACGAATGTACTTTTACGCGAGACGGGATATTAAATTTCCATAATACTCACACGTGGTCCCAAGAAAATCCTCATACCATTCGTGAAGGTCATTTCCAACAACGTTTTAAAATAAATATTTGGGAGGGTATTCTTGACGATCAGGTAATTGGCACTTTTGAGTTACCCCCAAAGTTGTCAGGAGAAGTATACCTTAAATTTCTAGCCAATAACCTACCAGAACTTTTGGAACAGACCTTAGACAACATGCCATTACAATGGAGACAGAATTTGTGGTTTCTTCATGACGGGGCACCACCACACATTTTTGGAGGCATCATTCAGTATTTGACTGAACATTATCCAAATCGCTGGATCGGTCGAAATGCTCCTGATCCTTGAAAATGGCCAGCAAGATCTCCTGACCTCAATCCGATGGATTTCTGGTATTGGGGAGAACCTAAAAGGGATGATTTATGGGGCTGGTCCAATAACAACTGTAGCGAAAAATATTTTAATGCGACTGAAATTGTAAACGGACAACTTCGAGGACCTAGAGTAAGAATAAACTGGGTTCTTCGTAATCAAGCTTGTGTGGAAAGTGGAGGACGACATTTTGAACACCTTCTTTAAATAAAAAAAGTGCAGTGTGGGTTTTAAAAAGAAAAACAATGTTTGTATCAAAATTTTGTTCCCTATTTATAAGTGGATTTTTTTGATACGTTCAATAAACTTTCACACATCAGGTGAAGCGCTGAGACAGTTAGTGGTAAGTCCGTTTTTTTTAATTGTTTGCATTTTACGAGTACATTATCAAATAACGACATAATACCTAAGAGCCAAAAATAACAAACTCCATCTTTATTTACACTGCGTTGCGTCGAAATTTGCGTCTGGCATTGCGACGTTGTCAGATTTTATTTTACTTTAAAGTCGCTTTTCTCTAAAAAAATACCGTTTTGACCCCGATGTTATATGAAACTTTTTGCTTCTTTTAACAACCTCTATCACCCATTTAAATAATGACTATCATAACGTTTACATCCTGAATGTGTAGCAATCATCAATAATACGTCACTTGCTGGGTGTGAAGATGACATCTATTATTCATAATGAATAACCGGTTTTAGCTTCTTCAAAAAATCATATACTGTTACCAGGAGTACTACACATATGGAGCACCATAGGCTATAAATTGTAACACTGGCTGGATATAGCGTTGCCAGACTAAACGTAAATATATCTTTAAGAATAGATAAAATATGATGTGTATTTTTTCATTTGTATGCTTGAAATGTTGTATCCAGCTAGGTCATTTTTTATTCATTTTGCACTCACACCTATTCTCAAAAATCGGCACATAATATGCAGGGTGTTTATTTGAAAATCCACTGATTAAAGGAAAAAACACTGAGACACTTCAAAAGATTTGTCAAGTGGTATAACTTTTTAACTAAAAACTACTTCACCCTCTGCCCCCCAGGGTCATCCCCTCAAAAATTTTAAATGTCAAGGGGTATCGAGTAATATCTTGTTTAAAAGGCCTTTCGAAGTCCTTTTTTTTAACGTTTGATTTTTTAAAATCGGTCGATTGGTTTTCAAGAATATTTTAAAAATCTTTATTTATCTTAATTTGTACTAGTAGTAGAAAGATTTATTTAGCACATTTGGCTACATAAACAGAATAATTGTAAACAACTGGGAACTAGTAAATTCAAGCCATATAGTGTATGATGTAAATACGGGGCAACCTATAATTGTAGATTTAACAAGTGATTTCTCAATTTTACTTTAAATTTTGTCAAAGTTTTCTGGTCTTTTATCTCCGCGTATAATTTATTATATTCAATCAACCCTTGATGGAATACAGATTTGTAGCATATGTTATACTTTTTGGTCATTAAATGGAAGTCATCTTTATTTCTGGTATTATGTAAATGATGGTCGACATTTGATGATGTTAAATTAGTTAGACTTGATGGAAATATATTATTTTTTACTTTATAAATGAATATCATTACAAGATATTTGATAAAAATTTTTACATTGAGCCATTTTAATTTGCTAAGCATTTGCCTAATTGGAGTATATTTATCTTTATTTAGTATTATTCTCATGCACTTATTTTGTAAATTTGCAGTCTTTCAAAAATGGAATTATTTGCTAAATATAGAATAGTCGAACAGTACAAGAAATTTGGAAGAATGATGGTATTATAGATAATTTTTCTGCTATATGAACTCAGACATCCAGAAACTCTCGATAAATATCCCACTTTACTACTAATCTTATTTATAACTTTTTCATAATGAATATCAAAAATTAAGCGAGAGTCAACAAAAACCCCCAGGTATTTAAAATTTTCTACGAATTCAATATCTTCACCATCAATATTCAGTTGAACATTTGTACATTGTTTTTTCCCATTAACAAGGCTTTCGTTTTACTTGCTTTTAATTTTAGTCTGTTAGATGCTAACCATTTTGAGACAAGCTTCAAGTCTTCATTTGTATAAGAGATACCAGACTGAATATTTATATAAATCATAGTGTCATCGGCGAAAATCTGAATTTTGCATTTTTTGACTATGGCAGGTAAATCATTTATGTATAAAATAAAAAGAAGTGGCCCCAGGATACTGCCCTGTGGAACACCCAATGTATTTTCAATTTTTGATGAAATAGTGTCATTAACTTTTGTAATTTGCATCCTTTTAGACAAATAATTTCTAAACCAATCTAAAACACTTCCTGTTATACCATATGCCTTCAATTTACCTAACAAAATATATTGTGTAGATAGAAAACAAAAACACTCGAAAATACACCTTTTTATTTCAATAAGTGTTCAAAATGTTGCCCGTTATTGACCAAACAATGATATAGGCGATGTTCAAATTCCTGACGGACATTTCGATGATGCGTTGACGAAGTTCATACAAACTTTCACGTTCGGGAGTAACCACATTAAATTTCAAATACCTCCATAGAAAAAAATCTAGGGGGTGACCCTGGGGGGCAGAGGGTGAAAGGGGGTGAAGTAGTTTTTAGTTAAAAAGTTGTCCCCCCCCCTGACAAGGTTCAAAAAAAATAATTGCAAGAAATTGTTAGATTTAAGTATGCCAGTGAAAATTAAGGGAGTGGTACTTGATTTTGTAAATAGTTTTAAATATTTAGGTATTATAATAGATCAGCAACTAAGTTTCAACAGACATGTTGACTATATGTGTCGGAAATTAGGCAAAAAGATCGGGTATTTTCGTAGAATTTGTGACAATCTAAGTCGCTGGTGCAGAAGGGTAGTCGTACAATAATTTTTTCTCACTTTACTTATTGTGCATCACTTTTGATTACATACATAAATGAGCAAAAGCAAGGTTACAAATTCTATTAAATAAATATATAATAATAATAATAAACGTCTTTATTTCCAAATGGACTGATTATATAAAAAAATAGCCAAATACGGGCGAAGTTCAGCTGTAGCTGCTCTTCCACTTAACCCGCTATAAAAAAAAGTCCGTACAAAAGGTGAGTGAGACCTACTTATTCTACACATTACAAATATTAAATGTATATGCATTGCCTACATTAATACATCTACTAAAATTAATCATAAACTTGTATCAATATTTTCCTGAGACATGGTTACTACTGCTGGGATAAGAGATATTTTTTTAATTGAGTTTTGAAACTTGAGAGGCTCAGAGTTTTATATTGTGCCGGAAGGGTGTTATAAACGGAACAAATTTGGTAGCTGAACGATCGTTCAAATTGGGCTGTTCGGAATATCGGCGGTGTCAGCAACCCCCTGGATCTTATATTGATGTTATGCACATCTGTTCGAAATGTAACTTTTTCAAATAAGTAAGTGGGGGTCTTATACATAATTATTTTATGATATAATGTTGCGGCATGCAAAAATCTTCTTGTTTCCATGTTCAACCAATTCGCATCTTTCAACTTATGGGATATTCGGTCTCGTCTTCTGATGCCATATATTAATCTGAGGCAAGAATTCTGAGCAACCTGAATTTTTTGTTTGTAAGTGGCAGTTAAGCATGGGCCATACAACATATCAGAAAAATTGAAGTGCGAGAGCACCAACGACTCACATAGATTTATTTTGACTTTAACGGGAAGGTTACGTCTGTTGCCGTACAATATTTTTAAAGAGGAATATGCCTTACGAATGAGCGAATTTACATGTTTTTCAAATCTTAAATTTACATCCAATGTTACACCCAAGTTCTTTGCTTCACTGACAGTTTCAAGTTGTTGTGCGGATTTTGTTTAATTGTATCAGGTATACCTCTTTCTAAAAAAAAGATGTGAAATGCAAGGTTACCACATTAGATCAAGAGACATTTTCCATATACAAAGATTTAAATTTGAAGGTTTAGAGAAGTCAATGTTTGTTGAAGGTCTAAAAATGTTCTAAAATGTTCAAAAAGAGACTTTGGAGAGACTATTTTGGTTTGATGTATGACCTCTTTGAAAATTCGTAAATTTAACATATTTTTTGTAAATATTTATTATTGTTTGCAGTAGCTTAAAGCTAAGTAAATCCTTCCTGTCTAAATTGATGAGTTAACACCAAACTTCGACGTTATTATGTCATATATGCTTGTGCTAGCTACGTAGCGTATTTTACTGTATTTGCATGGCTAATTTTTTATATACTTTCGCAGGTGTGCCTAGGATCCCAAATCAGTACTCGTTCCCACCAAAGGTATATCTCCGAATATTCGAGCGACAGCGACTGAAATCGATGCATCTTCGTGAGGTTAAGGACAGGGAATCCGGTAAGATGCGGCACCGAGCCTGTTGAAATCGCTGATACGTAATTTAGGGTATACACTCGGTATTTCTTGAACAGTATACCTACCTCTCCGTTGCGCTGGTCATTATATTTATTTATTAGTATCGATTACGTCGATTTCGTATTTATTTGAATAGCGTTACTTCCAATGAAAGTCTGATTTGGTAAGATTGATGTAAAGGCACGGTTTGTTGTTTGAGCTGGTTCTTGAATGACATGCGATCGTAATAATGACGTTTTATAATGAAACCTATGATATTTGGAGTTTTTGTAGGGTATATGTGCCAATGACGAAATGGGCAGCTAGGGAATATGCTATAAAATTACGAGTATGAATTAATTTTGGCTAAATACTGCGAAAGGGTTTGAAATCTCGAAACTGGAGATACTACAGACCAAAATATGCGAATTGACATACACATACCCTTAGTCCAAAAGTTGATAGTTTGCGAGATACAGGGTGTCAAAGTTACAATTTTATTTTCTATTTTTCCTTATTGCTTGAGAAGTATTTCAGATTTTGGCATAAAACTCAGTATAGGGAGGTTTTCTAGTAAGAGAAATAAGAATCCGTTATTTTGTGTGGCCAAACTTCTAACACTTACAGCAATATTTCTGTAAATAACTTATCATAACTTTTTTATGCTACCCTGAATACAACCGACCGAAAAATCTTATTTTCTCGTATTTCCACAACAAAAAGGTTTACTTGTTAGAAGTGTTTAGAGCTAATGTTTTCGAGATATTTGTACCTTGATAATAAAACATTTTTATAACATAATACTCAAGTTGGTTTGGATATCTGAGTAGAGTTGCTATGGTTTCTAATGTTTGTCATAATATTGATTTAAACCTAATGAATAATTTTAAGTTGACAACAAGTTGTTAAACATCATGGAGTATACATTTGATGAATATTCTGATATGCATTTAATGTACGGATTGGCAAGATGTAATGCTTTAAAAACAAATATCTCGAAAACTATTAGCTTTAGACAAGTAAACTTTTTTTGTAGTGGGAATACGAGTAAATAAGATATTTTGGTCAGTTGTTTTATACAGGGTAGCACAAAAAAGTTATGATAGCTTATTTACCGAAATAGTGCTTTCAGTGGCACCCTTTAGAAGTTTGACCATAACAAATAACGGATTCTTGTTTCTCTTACTAGAAAACCTCCCTATTCTGAGTTTTATGCCAGAATCTGAAATAATTCTCAAGCAACAAGGAAAAATAGAAAATAAAATTGTAACTTTGACACCCCGTATCTCGCAAACTATCAACTTTTGGACTGAGGTATGTTTAGGTTAATTCACGTATTTTGGTCTGTAGAATCTCCAGTTTCGGGGTTTCTCAACATTTCTCAGACACTATGTATACAAGGAAAATGACCCCAAGACCGGACGCCTGAGTGATCGAAGCGCTACTGTTTCTGAAAAAAAGAATGCTAAACCTGGCAATAGCGCAGTTATTATCTTCTCATCGGGAATGGTCGATTACCCTCCATTTCAAAGTTTGAAGGGTTTGATTGCTGCTAAACTTTTGAGAAACCATAAATGGCTAGTTCCGCATTTTGTTATTTACGCATATTGATCCATTCATTTTTATTCAAAAATCATGTTGACATTTTTTTGTATCATTTATTTTTTCATCTTTCAAATGATGATGAATTTGACCAGCAACTAAAAATTCGTTTCGTTAAACTGCATTAATAATGTACGTCTGAAAAGAATTCATGTAAGGCATGCAGTGGTCCAACGAAAAATCAATCGAATTAAATCATGTACATGAACAAGGGACCATTCATGCAAGTGTGTACAATCCTTACGTAAAAAACTTATATTATGTTAAAAAAAAATCGGTAAAATGTCAACTTGCGCACTAGGTAGCCGCTAGTGTGTCGCTAGTCCTTTCCGCGCCTTCTACAAGTGAGCTTGAAGTGAATGTCGGCTAGTTCAAATGTGACATGTTATAAGAAAACCAAAAAATCTATATATAAACACTTTTCCATTAAGGACTGTTTTTCCTGAAGCTTTTGAAACCCCATCCGTACGCGCGAAAAACATAACCCTTCTTCTGAGACAGCGGGGTAAGAAAAAAAAAGAAATAGCACTTATTATTCATTTGGTAAGAATTTACAAGAATCACCCAGTCACAATTTGCACACTGATGAGAGCATTAGAGCTCTCGTAAATACGATTCAAAAATACAAATTTGCTAACTTCTTCTTAAATATACAACATTCGGGGCTGTCTAAGTCCTCTTCTGTGGCCTTAACGACAAACCTACGCAGCTCTGAACACCGTTGTGAAGTATCACTGTCAACGGCGCAGTTGCACTCCCCACAAATCGCTCTCAAGATGGCGAAGATTTTATGGTTATGGTCATCCTGAGTCTCACGTGCGGTAAAGGGACAGGAACCATACGCAGAATAAGAATTTTACATCAATATAATATTGAAGACACTCACCAGAAAGTAACATCGTATCAATAACTTGGTTCTTGCTGTAGGAATGCGGCTATTTCTTTTTTTTAACTGTTCGCACCGTGCTGATCTGGATACGGATATACGTCGTACTTTTTCAGTCCTTTTACGTTGGATGCAGAGCCAAGCTGGCCGATTCAGACTTTTCCGAAGCTTATTAAATTATCTAATAATTTTTTTTCGTGGTATTCTAGGGTTTTTTAACTTTTTTGAAAAAATCATTTATTTACATTATTCGATGAAGCATTGCCGACTGGTGCTGTTGGTCACAAGTTTTTTTTTTACAAAGGATTTTCCATTAAGGAATTGACAACTTTCTTTTTGAATAAAACGCAAACCATTTGAGATATCTCGAAAATTTTATTATTGGATTGAAGTATACTCAAAACATTTATGTATGGAATTCGACCTCGTTCATATGTCCACCACGGGCACGTTCGCAGCGATCGATTCGTTGAACCCAATTTTCAATGGCGCGGCCACACATTTCGACAGAAACGGCCGCTATCTCTCGTTCAATATTGCGTCTGAGCTCTTAGGACATCGGCTTGTTGGCATAGACCAATGATTTAAAGTAGCCCCACAAAATAAAAGTCTAGAGGTGTTAAATCACACGATCTACGCGCCCATTCGACAGGACCATTTCTCGATATAACACGTTCACCGAATTTTGTATTCAATACAGTGGACCTCCGGTAATCCGACAAACATTATGCAGGGCAGTGTCGGACTATCGAATTTGTCGGATTATAGAGCACTGCCTAAGACCCCCTTAGTCCGGAATTTTTTACAAAAGCGTACCTTGTAATCCGACAAATTACATATCCAATGGTAAGATTATATATGTTATGTATATGTATGTACTTTGAAGTACAAATCATACATAGTTTATGTATGTCGAATTTAGTAAATTAAATAACAATAGAGATCTTACGTTTTATTATAACATTAAGCATAAATGCACATACATATGTACCAAAATAATCAAGAATTATTAATCAAAGTCATTAATGAATTTATCAAATTATGAAGCTGGAAATATTCATCAATTTTTTTTAAGGTTGTTATAACGCGAGATCAGAGCTTTGTCCCTCAGTCTTCTCAAAAGTAAAAGTTCGTTGTAGGATGTACCATTATCTTCAGCCCATTGTAAACCTAGCTCAAAGGCGTTAATTGCGTCTTGTGCTGTGACTTGTGGAGCAGTTGCAATCACATCGTCGTTATTTTCCTGATTGTTTGTTGTATAATTAGAAACCTCTTTTATAATCTATTCGTCAGACATTTCATGTAAAACATTTTCCTCTTTATCCATTCCACGGCACCAGATTTCCAAATCTTCCGGACATCTGTGTTCCAGTAGCGACTTGTTCTATAACTTCCGAAGTAACACTGATTTGTAGAACGTTGCTAGGAGTGGTGACTATATCTGGCCATAACTTTTTCCAAGACGATTTAATAGTTGATGACGATAACGCATTACACGACTGACAAAGAGAAAGAACCAAGTCTTTCATATTAAATTCTTTTAAAGTTTTTTCTATTGGTTGGTCTTTTGATATGGCTTTCAGAAGTAGGTTTTTCTTATAGTTTTGTTTGACAAACTGAATGATATTTTGGTCCATTGGTTGAATCAGTGCAGTGCAATTTGGCGGAAGAAACATCGCAGTGATGCATTTATCCTCAGTTGTTAGTTCTTCTTCAGACGGATGACTGGGAACATTATCAAGAAGCAACAACGCTTTTTGAGGAAAATTATGATCTTTTAACCATTTTCTAACTTCTGGTACGAAACATTCATCAAACCACTTTTTGAAAAGGTCTTTTGTCATCCATGCACTTTTTTGTCCGTAATAGTGTACAGGTAAATCAATGTTTTTGAATGCCCGTGGTTTATTAGATTTCCCAATGACCATCACCTTAAGCGCGTGTGTGCCCGCAGCGTTAGCACATGGTTACACGCTCTTTACTTACTTTTCGTCCAGGTACGGATTTTTCGTTACAAGAAACGAAAGATTTGTAAGGCATCACACGCCAAAAAAGCCCTGATTCGTCTGCATTGTACACCTGTGACGGGTCAAGATTTAAATCGTTCACCTTTTGCAAAAATCTTAATTTAAAGGGCTCTATGCAGGTGGCATCGTTAGAAAGTTTCTCTCCTGTAATAGTCATTAAACGTATGCCATGACGACTTTTAAACTACTTTTTTTGTTATTTCCTTATAAAAAAACTTAGCTTTCATGGCCAATGGGTCCTGAAATTGGTGCATGCCTATTTCTTTCCTGAAGAAACCACATATACAAAGCTTGTTCCACTTCTGGATGTTCAGCTTTCTTGAGTGTCTGTCTCGTGCCTGGCCCACAGTCAGTAGTTGACACGAACTTCTTGATCTTCTCGTGGTTTCTTTTAATGTCATAAATGGTAGATCGGCCTACGCCGTATTCACTTGCTAAACTACTGAAAGTTTCATTGCGATTTAAGTGGTCTAAAATACCACATTTTTATTTAATTGTCAATGTTTTGTGCGTTCGCTTCCGAGTTTGTGATGACATTACTAGGTACTTTACTTAATATACAATGAATAAATAGTAAACAATGAACGCACGCTAGGCCGTACCGATATCACCAGTAGTCAAATTCAAACTAAGTAAAACAATGCTTACGCGTCGAGCACGATAACGGTGGCGCGTACAAGTTGTAACCTGTTCAAACCTGCGTGATCTACATTAGCGAAGATTGTCAAATACGTATGTATGTAATACTTATTCAAAGACATGTCGGATTACAGGGGGCGCTGGATTAGACAGGGGTCCACTGTATGTCGATTGTTTCACCCGCTGTGTGGCTTGTGACACCGTCTTGTTGGATCCACATATCATTAATGTCTAGCCCACGCAATTGACCAAAAAATAGCGTTGCAACATGTCTCTGTAGCGATCTCCGTTGACTGTTACGTGACGGTCATTTTAATCAACGAAAAAAAAAACGGCCCAATGACACAACCGGCATGAAAACCACACCATACAGTTATTTTTTGCGGATGAAGTGGTGTTTCTTGAAGCACATGACCAATAACGCATCTTCTGTTTGTTAACGAAGCCATTTAGCCAAAAATGCGCCTCATCACTGAAGATGATGTTGCGATGAAGTTGGTATTTTCTTGCAACATTTCCAGAGAACGTACGTCGGTTCATATGATCGAACGGCTTTGGATCTTGAGTCAACTTGATCTTATACGGGTGCAGGCCAAGATCTCTTCGCAAAATTCGCCATAGTGTGGTCTGAGCGATGCCCAATTTTTGAGAACCCCGTGGAAACGAAAAGATCTGTTCGTTTGCGACTTCAGCAAGCAATATTCTCGGCACTTCGACCAACCCGTTGTCTCACTGGCACGGGAACATCCCATCCGGCAGCGAATATGTGGACGAAATTTTTTTTCTAGACTATGAATTGCTTGTCTACTGGAAGGAGAATTACGACCAAACATTGGCGTTGACGCTCTTAAATGTCGGTAGTAAATATTAATTATTCGTAAGCGTTGTTCGTTCGTGTACTTCCCCATGATTAAAATGTTTTTTCTTTACTGTATGTTTTGACACTGTTCGGTAATTGATTTAAAGGTGCGTTCACAGTGAAAGTTCAAAGTTGACTTGACTTTGTAATACTGACATTACTCCCATGTGTTTTGTTATTTCTTTTTCTACAGTGACTTCAGCGATTAGCTTCATATTTATTTCGTGTTGCTTTTATTTTTGACTAGCAAGTTAAATAAGTATGGATTCCAAAAAAAAGAACCACCAAATTTTCTCCAAAGGAAGAGTTTGTGAAAAAACACCAACACACACTTGCAAGAAGTCTGCCTAACATGTACCAGGTGTATCTCTATTATTACTTGGTGGAATGTTACTGTCACGTGACAAGATGTTGTATCGGCATGTCTTTAAAATGAATATTCTTAGCATGCGAGCGAGTTGAAAATTCTTTAAAGGGATGTGAACTGTATGTGCTGAGAACATGCTTTCTTATCATATCTCTTTTAGGATCTAAAACATAATTTTCAAGAATGTGAATATACCTTTTCATGTTTGCTGGGTGGTACACAAGTTGACGTTATACCGTTTTTAATGACATTATGTAGATTTTTTACATCGTACCTCGGACACTGTCGCGCATACATGGGCCCTAATCTGACATTGCTGATGTTAATCGTAAGGTATCTGAATCTTTCATGGCTTTAAAATTGCTTATAGTATGCATTATAGGCGTTTCCGAATAGGAACATTTATAATATTGATGGCCTTCCCTTGATTAAACAATAATTTTTGGTATGTTTATTGCAAAATATGTTTTAGTATTTTAATCATGTTTGTTCACATTCATCAATGTGCCATATACAAAGTATTCCAAAAATTAGATTAACCATTTCGATTTTCAGTGTATTTTGAAAAGGTGGAGATTTTTGGCAGTTGGCACTGTCGAAATATATCTCATATTGAGAAATGTATTCAAAGCTTTTTCAGAAGCCATAATCTTGCTCCACTGGTTTTTTAGCACAAGTCCCGAAAATCTGTAACTTTATATTCTAAGCGATATTTGGTGTATTAATTTTATCCTGATATTGAAGTCCACATTTTCTTTTGCCGTATTTAAGATAAGCAACTACTCCAGATTACCAAACTAAATGGCAGGTCATACTGAGAAAGTACACATTTTCATCACGTCTCAGTATTTTGAGCTGCTATTTGGTGCAACATTGCTCTCTCAGCTAGTTTTTCATAAATGGATTTTTTATGGTAATGACTTGTATCGATTGACATAATGCCGCGAATTGTTTCATAGTAGTTGATAATTGTGTATATTTATTTACATACAGTAATAAGTTGAACTGTGATTAAAAAGTTGTGAAGTTGAAGAATAAATTTATAAGTGATAAAGATGTTTTATTCCTCCCGAATGTACCCAGTGTAGCGAGCACCAGCCAAGACAATCCCTCATAATATTATAAATACTTGTTATTGCAAAGGTGCTTCTAAATTGTGGAGAGCCGCGGGACTGTAAGCGCGTTCAGATATAATTAAGGTAACAAGTGATAGACACCCGAGCCATACAAAGACAATGTAGGACTGGCACGTACGAGGTATGTCTTTTAAGTTTTGCATATGGAAATAAAACAACACGGTAGGTAGTTTTAAATGACTATTGTTTTTCGAAGTATTCTCCAGGAAGATTAATACACATCTGCATGGGTTTGCTGGCAGATCGAAAACGGCATTTTTGAATGCGTCAACTGCTTCTTCTGGTGACTGGAATCTTTGACCACGCAGTCTGTTTTTAATTTTCGGGAAAGTAAAGAAATCGTTAGAACTTAGATCGGGACTATATGGAGGATGGTCCAATTATTCCACGTTTTCTTCCGTTAAATACTACCTAGTGTTTTGGGCTGAGTGCGAACTTGCATTGCCTTGGTGGAGGATGATTCTTCTTTCGGGGTTGATTTTTCGAAGCTCGGTGATGACTTCTGGCAAACAAATGGTGGTATACCAATCCGCAGTAATAGTTCTTTGCTCATTAAGAGGCATTGTTGCAATATGACCCGCTTTTGACACAAATGTCGCGACCATCTTTTTCGAAACACTTCGAGAACGGATGACTTTTGTTGGCTTTTCGTCACCTTGGAACACCCAAACAACCGCCTGTCGTTTATTTTCTGGTTCATAACAGTAAATCCACTATTCATCACCACTAACAATGCTGTACGTAATACACGTTTTGAGTTTCCGAAATTGAAACCGTCAAGCGTTTTTTGACACCAATTAACCCTGGCTCTTCACTCAACAGGTGGGGTATTCAAACGAGAAACTAATTTTCTTACTCCTAATTCTTTATGTAAAATTTTTTGAATTGAGGTCTTTGAGATCTACAAGGACGCCTGAGTCTCACGATATGTCACATGTCTATCTTCAATGATGAGTTTGCGCACAGCATCGACGTTTTCCTGGGTGACTGCCGTTTTTGGTGCACCCACCCTGGGATCGTCGCTAAGATTCACCCGTCCACGTTTGAATTCTCCATACCAACGGGAAATTGTCGACTGATGTGGCGCTTCGGTGCCGAAAACTGACAGTAACTCAGCAAGGCATTCTTGTTGCGATAATTGTCTCTGAAAGTTGTAATAAATTATGGCGCGAAAATGTGCTCGGTTGAGTTCCATTTTTCTAATGACTCTTAAAAATTATCTGTAGTGAGAACACTGCACGTATTGTTGTGAAACTTTGAATTTAAGTTTACTAGAGAGTGAGGTTAAGATTCAGTACTGACGTTCGATCCGAGCGGCCTACTATATTTCTATATGCAAAACTTAAAAGACATCCCTCGTACCTGTGTGTTCCTGCCGCCTGGTCTGGAGGAGCTCCTGTCTCTTCACAGCTTCTTCTTAGGTTCACCACACTGGCCTTAGCGAATATATTGTACCCGGTATAACTAGGATTCTTTGTCGAGGTATTGAAGACGATCGTTGCCTTTTCCGATCTTTACGAGATTTGAAGACGATCGTTGCCATTGGCGATCTTCTACGAATTGACTTCACGAAATCGTCTTCCCCTTGTGAGCATTGTTTACTTATACGCGCACGTGCCAAAGAATTTGAATTTGTATGGCTTTTGAGTTCAAATAACGAAGTATGTTTTTGAACTCGCATGAACAATACTAATAGGTGTAATAATCGCCTTTATTGATCAAAATATCAAAAAACTAACTTAGTACATTACGTGGGGCGAGCTTTAGTACGTGCAATTCCACCATCTAATCCTGCAAAAGAAACAAAAAAAGTGAAAATGATGGATTGTCACAATACTCGTACAATTTAATACGAAGTAAAGTCGATATACTTATGAAAAGAAAAAGAGATAGCAATACAAAAATACAATCCTCAGGGATAGATAACAATTTTTCAATACATTATTCAGATGGGAGTTAAAATGTAAGTCTGAGTCAAAATAGATGCAATTTTTTTTTAATTTTCCACAAAACATTATTTCCTCCGCATTAGCTTTGATATGGATTAATGGCTTGATATATTTCTTTATTGCCAAATAACATGGTAATGGGATTCAGGGCCGTATCGTCAGACGTTTCTACAATGTAATTGTAAGACGTCTTTATGGCGTCCTTGGTTTTTCTACTTAGCGTTCTATTTTGAGGTTATGTTACAAATATCTACTTGCATCAAATTGTTCATGCTTTTGATTTATGTCATCTGTTTTATCAGCCTAAAATTTCCTACAATTCAAAAAGAAAACGGCTTCACAACAGAAGAAGCGCTGAGGCTGACATGGAACAGTAGAAATTTAAAAATACCTCAGCCTTTCTGAAGGAGAGAAAAGGCTACGATAGAAGGGTTTATCTCTGGGCTACTAAAATCAAGGCCATAAAGGCGTCGTAAAACCATAGTTTTCTACTGTTCCGTGTCAGCGCTCTATTTTGAGGTTGTGTTATTAATATCTATTTGCATCCAATGTTCATGCTGTTGATTTATATCATCTGTTATATCAGCCAGAAATTTCCGACAATTCAAAAAGAAAACATAGCTTCGCAATAGGAGAGAGCTGACGCTGACATGGAACAGTAGAAACCTAGAAATACCTCAGCCTGGAGGAGAGAAAAGACTATGACAATCAAGAAGGCCATAAAGGCGTCCTACAATTGTGGGAACGACTGATGATACGGCCCTAAGATATTTAATGACAGAACTGGAAAAAAGTAACCTATATCAAGGCCACTTGTAATATGCACATCAGAGGTATACTATACTATATATATATCTATATTTAACACGCTCTGTTGCTGCAAAAATCGCCAAATTTCGCAGCAAATATCCCCCGTATAAGATCAAAGGCAGTTTCACCGGTCCACGTGGAGTAAAGCACGCCTATGCGTGGACATAGCCAATAAGAAAGCGTGTATTTCAGAGCTCCGAACAAGTGCAGGTGGCTGCTGAAAATTGAAACAGTTTAGCCAGTGCCGTGTAGCGGTAAATAAACGTGTTTTCCTTAGTCTGTCCCTGTTTTTTCATAGATTTTATTAGTTTGTGTGTTTTTGACTTTTGAATACTCTGTTTACTTGTTGATTTAATTGTGTTGATTGTTCTTGTGTGTCCTAAATATGGCTCTTTGGAGACCTTGGGAAAATGCTCCAAGCCACGAGGAGATGGTTGATGAACCTGTGCAGGCAGAATTCTTTCATAAAGATTTAGAGGAACAGACCCAAAGAGTAATCCTAAGTATGTATGTATGATTGTCTGAAAAACGAAAATCCTCGCAAAATCAAATTTTAAACAGAATTTGTATCCTGACCAAAATCAGTCGGTCTACCATTTATCGGGTTATAAAAAGGGGAGATGTAGTCAACCATTCCTTCCACAGAAAGCGCATAGGGCAAAAATTAAAATGAATAGACGTGGGTTTTCAGGAAGATATTCGTCGTATAATATACGGATTTTATAAAGAAAATTTGGTGCCCACGTTGGAAATGATACGGGATAAAAAAAGATTATCCTGAAGATTTTTATAATTACAAATGCTTAGACTCACTGCACTGTATTGTAAAACTGTGTGGTTTTCAATACAACAAATTAGATAAAAGAATGGTGATTATGGAGTCGTCTCGAATCGTTGAATTGCGCCAAGAATTTTTGCACAAAGTTAAAATCTATAGAGAGCAGAAAAGAAATCTGATTTACCTGGATGAAACGTGGTATGATACCCATGATGTTGTGCAGTACGGCTGGGTTGACGACAGCAACAAGTGCATTTTAAATGCACCATGCAACCGTGGAAAACGAATCATTATTCTCCATGCTGGCAGTGAAAATGGACTTATACCTAATGCCTTGCTGTTATCTGCCAAAAATATCAAAGAATCATGTGCCGACTATCATGAGGACATGACCTCCGACTTATTTGAAAAGTGGATAGAGCAGCAGTTAGTACCAAACATTTCCCCAAATTCAGTGATTATTATGGACAATGCGCCATACCATTCCCGACAGAAAAACAAAATTCCGAATACAGGCACAAAAAAACAAGACATTATTGATTTTATGAAGGATAAGGGAATGGAAATACCACAAAAATCAACCAAAGCCATATTATTGGATCTTATTAAAAGACAAAAATTTGAAAAAGAGTATGTTGTTGACAATCTGCTTCAGCAAAATGGCCATGAAGTATTACGTCTACCTCCCTATTACTGCATTTTTAACCCGATTGAGTTGGTCTGGGCTGCTTTAAAAAAAAAAAGTAAGAAAACATAATCAGACCCCTCAATTAAGTGAATAGGTATTGGCCATAATAAGAGATGCAGTATCTCATATTGCTGCCACAGACCTATGGAAGCAGTGTTCTAGGCATATTATTGAAAAAGAAAATGAATATTGTGTTTTGCCTCCTGTAAATCCCGTTGTAATTCGTCTACAAGATGACTCTAGCGACAGCTCCGAAGGCGAGGATGATATATAAATACCTATAATGTAAGTCTTTATATACCTTTTTATATACCTACCTGCTATGTAAATATTTGCCTATGACAAACGTTGGAATTCTGTAATTTTTCCATTTCTTAACTTTCAGTCAAGAAAAATTAAACTCGCAGTATTTTTTATCCCAAATCAAAAAAATAAGAAGATAGTAAAATCCATTTATTGTGATATAAAAACATTATTATTATCGTTCTAAATAAATGACCGCACGCCTATGATACGTCATGAAATTTCAAAGGACGCGCCGACCAAAGGTTTTTATGCTATTTCAAGTGACTTCAGATAAAGTATACTTTCTAGTGCCTCGTTTGTGTCACTCGGAGTAAATCGGAGCTACCCACCACCTGTGAATGCCGTTCCAGCACTGTAGAGCGTCATGCACCTGAGCCAGCGTTGCCAGATTCGTCGCAGGGAATTATCGTACAAACACGTCAAAATATCGTACGGTGTTCTTAGGTTCTCTCAGGATTCATGATGAAGGAAATTTTTTCAAAGATTCCGCTCCTTTTGTTTCCTGTATTCGAGAGTATGGCATCTTTTGTTGTGCTTCTCTTTTCCAGACCAACTTGATTCGGAAACCGACATATTACCGTTCTTGAATTGGAACCGGTAAAATATCGAAATAACTGAAAACGATCTTTTGATTTTTAAGTTTCAAAAGTCATAATAACGCGAGACGTCGCATTCATTTCATCTAATGCACATCGGTAAATAAAAATATGCACATCATGTCAATACATAGAACGTGAGTACTGATTGACGGCAATTTTTCCCGTTGATGTTTGCCGAGATAGTCCGCATAATGCTAGGCAACCCATTATACAGAGTGGGGTACGAGCGCTTGTCTACCAAGCAGCAACACTGACAGCTGCTTGCTGGTGTTAATTGAACGTAGTTGTTAGATTGATTCAACATCAGTGAGTAAAAAAGCTCATTCGCAAAATTTTCGTACATTCAGCTATTATCCTACACATACTATCGTACATCGTACAGTACTTGAAATTATCGTACAGAAACGATAATTATCGTACGTCTGGCAACGCTGACCTGAGCTATTCATTTTTGGAATCCCCTGTCTCCTTATGCACCAGCTTTTTATTCGGTGTTGCACGCTCCGACATAGTGGGGATAACGAAAATGACATCTGTGTCAAGATTTTTAGGTTATGTATTTTCATCGTTTTTGCCTTTTTTTGCATTCAACTCACATTAAACCATACCGGAGAATGGAGGATGGTAAAAAACTGATAATGTTATGATACAGAGTCACAACGCACATTTGAGATGCTCCTGAATAATAAAGATCACAAGATAGTGTAAGAATGCAGGTTCATAGCGGCTTGTAATTGGTTTCATCTATAACTTACTAGACACTTTGAAAATAATTTTGAATGTCAAATAAAAAATGAATTCGACACATTTATCGAGAAGCTTTACAATACACCGCTGACGTGTTGCGCCATCATTCTAAAAGCATCAATTGGATAGTCTGACAATGCTTCTGAAAATAAAGGTAAAATGTGTTTACATTTTCATTGTTTGGGGTGTGATACAAATTTTCAACGTCAAACCAAAACATCAACAAACGTCGCGTTCCCGTGCGCATTTGCTAGAGTAGTTCGGAAGCGTCACACTCGTGCTGCATACAACTCTCAATTCGAAAGCACTGGAAAGCACCTCAGACTGTGGTTTTCGAGGCAAACAAATCGTAGGCTTGCTTCTTCTACCTAGTCTAAATTCGTTGGTCATTACGGATTCGTAAGTACAGACAAAAATGGTGGACGGTTGCTCACCTTAACAACCCTTTCTACCACTTGGTGGTGGACAGCAGCACATGGGCGGGCACGGAGAGGGGATTGGACACGGACAGGGCGCTATCATAGGCGCATATACTAGAGTTGATGGTGTCGATGGCTGACCCAGTGGAGCTATAGCTACTGGCGGGGCATCAAAGCATGGAACGCTGAAAATTGAAATTTATTCCAATGTACCTGACGATTATCAAAAGACTACATTTAATTCCCTTGTGCGCTACCCTTTTCTCTTACATCTTCAAAATGATCCACAGTAAAGTTAAAGCGAGACATGTCTGAACTCATTTCGCGTCCCGTGTCAAATTGACAGGTGATTATCAAAAAATCGAATGCCTCTAGAGCAGAGTTTCTCAAACTTATTTCGTAATTCTTTTTTATTTAGCGCCCGAAATTACTTCGGTTTTAGATATTTAACAGGTACAAATTATTCGTTGCAAATATTTCTCTCGTACACATTGACGCGAGGCCGACCTCAACCGTAAATGACTGGCGCGGTATACAATAAAGCCTTTCTTATTTGACTGATCTTTAGATTATAAAGTAGTATATTTCCTTAATAACGGTAACTTGTAGAATCTTTGGAAATTAGTATTTTGATTCTTCGGTTTTTAACTTTTGTCTTCGCAAATGTTTCAAAGTCGGATATTGAGCTACTTACTACCAAAACCAGCATAATTGATGCCAATTGCATAAAGCATCCCACAAACCGGCGCGAAATATTCGCTTTGGCTGCGAAAATTTCGCGGCGATGAATTCGCGATCAGATTAAAACGCGGCGGTTTACGGACAGGCTCAGACTTGTGCGAAGCGAATGCGATTGTTCCAGCGTTTTTATCACGGCGTATTTCAGTTCGCCTTTGACCGCGTTTTTGACGCCGTTCTTCAAAAATTCGCAATGGCAAAAACGGAATTATTGATAGAAATAGTGAAAAAGTATCCTTGTTTGTATGATTTGTCGAACGATGAATACAGGAATGTGAGAAAGAAAGACAAGATTTGGATGGAAATAGGAAAAGAATTAAATACAAATAGTATGTACCTAATATTTTTTATTAACTTGTTAAATAATTTACAGTCTACACAAATGTGAAAACGAACATTCTACATATTGGGCATAGGCATATCAGAATTAAAATAATTTACGAATTTGTCACGAGTAGAAAATGCTAGCCTTGCTGCCCGCCGAGGATCATTTGCTATAGCAGTAAAAGCTCCAAGCACGGGTTCTGGGGGATCTAAGAATTGAAAATATTTGTCATCGCCACTTTTACTTCGTAAAAAATTGTGTAAAACACATGCCGTACGTACAATTAGAATAGTAGTATCTACTTTAGTTTCTAATGGCCTGTAAAATATTCGCCATTTTTGAGACAAAATACCAAACGCATTTTCCACGACCCTTCTAGCTCGACAAAGTCTTACATTATATTTCTCTTTTCTGGCGTCTGTTAAAGTCTGCTTATAAGGAAATGGTCTCATAAGGTATGGTTTTAAAGCAAATGCTTCATCACCAATTAAGACGTACGAGCAGATTTCATTTTGCCCAGGGAGAAATCTAGGTGCAGGGACACTCATTAAATTTTGTTCAAATCGTTTTCCCATGTTTGAGGTTTCGAAAATACCCCCATCACTATTTTTTCCGAAACCACCAATATCAACACATATAAATTTATAGTCCGGGCCAACAATGGCCATAAGTACTATTGAATATTTATGTAAATAGCACCAGTAATTGGAGCCACTGTTGTTAGGTCTCTTGATTGTTACATGTTTACCGTCCACGCTGCCAATGCAATTGGGAAATCCCCATCTATTTTCAAATTCTTCAGCACATTTTTTCCATATATTCTCTGTTGGTTCTGGTAAATATATATGCTCCATATGTCTGCATATCGCTTCACAGACTTCGGTTACGATTGCACTCACTGTTGTAAAGCCAACTCGAAAGCTATGCCCAATGGTATAGAAGGTGTCACCAGTGGCAAGGAATCTATAAAAAAAATCGTTTTTAGGTGATGAAGTAAAAAAAAGGTGGAAGAATATCAGAGACACATTTGCAAAATATATAAAATCTACCAAACCAAAGACCGGCCAAGCAGTGGGCAACATAAAAAAATGGCAGTGGGCTGACTACATGGAATTTTTCCGTCCTTTTTTGGCATTTGCCAAAACGTCGTCTAATGTGAAAGATATTGACGTCATACATTATGAGACTGCCGAATTTAACTCAAATATATATCAGGAAAGGGCTGGAAATGTAGAAACCGAAAATTTGGAAGACCGCGGCCATGGAGAAGATGAAAATGCTGATGTAGATGCAGAAGATGCACAGAACGCCTCGGCAACACAGACAGCACCACCTTCTTCATTGAACACTACAGCAGTTACTACTCCAGGGCACACCTTTCCGCAGACTGCAACTACACCAAAATATAAAACGAGCAGAAAACGCTATGAACCACCATCTTCGTCTGTACAACAGCTCATTAATTATTTTGAAGGTAAAAAACCTAAAAAAGAGAACGAGGCCATTGATTCACTTTTCTTGGCATATGCACAGACTGTGAAAACACTTCCCTTAAAGCGTCAAGCCCGAATTAAACTAAAAATAGCCGAATTAATAGCGCACGAAGAATTTGAACATATTGAAGAAATGTCTTTAGCGTCTACCCAGAATTCTGCAAGTATGTATGATAGTAGTATGTCGTCCTTCCCAAGCGGCACGGGGTTTACTCCAATAATATACCCAACAGAGGAGGCAAATTCTGCCTCGAATTATTTAGCAACATTTAATCCTAGTGGCAACATGTAGTCCAATTATTACAATAAAATATTTATTTCACGATCCCTGAAGTTTTCGTATTCGATAAGCCTACTAATTTTAATACATATAATTTTTTGACCTGAGTGTAATAGCAAGTCGTTCTTCTGGCGAAATAGCAACACGATAATTTGTGTCAGATTTTCGTATTTCATCTTTCACCAAGTTCAATATTTCATCGAAACACTCTAAAATATACGTAAAAGCGCTGTTCATCCAGCCGAAGTTGTGGCATCAAGGTATGCTATTCCCCAAATTTATTCCGTTCTAAGTTAATATCATGTACCCACTTCCTTCGTTTCCTAAACAAAATTGAAAATATTTGTTTTATGTACTTCGTTAAACTTAATACATACCCAACTATCAAATGGCGTTAAATAAACATAACTTACCGTGCATTTTGTTCCTCTTCTAAAGCAAGAAATAGAAGTGCCTCCTCTTCTTCTGAAGACGAGCTCATTGCAAAAGGCAAAAATAAAATGTACGCAACCTGTCGAAACCTTCACGTCCGCGGAGCGAATAAGACCCTTTGGTATGAATAAATAGGCGAAACAGATTGCGAATTTCGCTCTGAATTTCGTTGCGAATACTTCGCCGCGATTATTTCGCGCCGGTTTGTGGGATGCTTAATGCATTCAAAATCAGTAGGTTTTGTGACAGGCGTTGAGTAGTGTCGTTAGAACGCATTGTCTAGTAGAAAAAAATTGTTGATCATGTGAACAACTGGGGCCTATTCTGCGGATCCTATACCCAGTCGTCTTTAAATAATAAGCTTCAGGTGGTCATTTACGTTACGTTACGTTAGCTACCAAGTATAAAAATTTCATGGAATCATCACAAAAGAAAATTGAAACCTCCTAACAGTGATATTTTTATGCCTGTACCAATCAAGCAAACGTTCAAAGATAAAGACCCCTACTTTACTGAATGTTACCAATAATATTACACAACTTAAAAAGAAAACTCAAATATCTCAAAAACCGATAAACTGTCAACTTGTTGGCTAAGTAGGCTAGTATTCAGCTAGTTCCAAGTAGACTTCTTGTAGGAAAACCTACATAATGTCATAAAAAAACAGACAAAATTTCAAAAAAAAAAACCGACAATATAACCTTTCAAGTTACGTAATACCCCTGTCGGAGTACCTGGCAGTGCTGTCATTTACACTCGCTATGCTTCTCGTATTGTACGATATGCTTCTTTGGTTGTGCGATATTAGAAGTACTACGAGTATACCGTATACCCAAAAATACTTATCTGAACATAATTTTGTGTATGTAACTATACTAAGTGACATATAAATCCGAACACTGAGTTTAAATGGTTTTATTTTAATAAAAGTTGGTGAATGTATTTATCTTACTGTAAATAATATGTGAAAAAATTTTCAGCCTTATCAGTTGGACATTCCGGTTTTTATACTGCTTTTTTTTAATTCACTAACGCTCTAAAAATGGATATTTCAGCCGTAGTAAAGAATCAACGTTGGCGGATTTTGGTTCTTGACATCCTTTATGATCGGTTACGATGCCTAGAGTACGGAGACCTGTACGATTTCGTCAACTTAGTGAGTTTAATAGGGGCCGTATAGTGGGACTTCGGGAAGCTGGACTTTCTTTTCGGGCAATTGCAGTTAGAGTGCAAAGAAGTGTAGACACTGTGGTTAGGTGTTGTCAGTCATGGTTTCGAGAAGGCCGTACGCAAAGAGCAAGGGGCACTGGACGCCGCCGTAGAACAACAAACCGTGAAGATCGCCGCCTAAGATTATTGGCCTTAAGGGACCGTTTCTCCACTACCAGGTCCATTGCAAATGAATGGTTTGCAGAACACGGAAGACCTATTGGCATGCGAAGTGTTTACCGACGAATGAGAAGTTTTGGCTTGTTTTCATACCGGCCACACTGGGTCCTCCCTTTAACTCGAGAACATCGACGTAATCGCCTTGAGTGGTGCAGACAACGGTCACTCTGGGATCAGGAATGGAACAGTATTGTCTTTAGTGACGAGTCTCGATTTTGTTTAGGCATGCACGATGGTCGTGCCAGGGTTAGAAGGCGACGTGGTGAAAGGAGGAATCCACAGTTTTTTGTTGAAAGACATGTTCATCACACTGTTGGAGTTATGGTTTGGGGTGCTAGAAGCTTATGGTTCCAGGTCACCTTTAATCCTTATCAGAGGTAACATGAACGCGCAGCGTTATATCCACGAAGTTCTAGAACCCCATCTTTTACCCTATCTTGACACCCTGGCAGATCCAACTTTCCAACAAGATAATGCCCGACCACATGTTGCAAGAGTCACAATAGACTTCTTTCAACATAATGATGTCACATTGTTACCATGGCCACCAAGATCTCCCGACTTATCCCCAATTGAGCACGTGTGGGATATGATGGGTAGGAGATTGCTCAATTTGCAACGTCCTCCTCAGATTCTAGAATCACTTCGAGAGGAGTTGGTGGTTGCCTGGAATGAGATACCACAGGAGGACATTGACCACCTGATCAGAAGCATGCCTAGGCACGTTGGAGAATGCGTAGCATATCAGGGTGCATCCACACATTATTAAAGGTCAAAGGGCTTTAAAGCAGTGCAATCATTTTGAAATTTTTATCATTTACTTGTTATGCTTCATTTAGTACTTATACAAAATTTTATTAAAATAAAACCATTTAAACTGGGTGTTCGGATTTATATGTCACTTAGTATATTAAAGTTTTGGATACTTCGACATATAGATGCATCATAAAATTTCAGTGTACTTACCTTGCTATGCAAGGTACCGAGCATCCACAGAATTGCGGCATGCATATGGACGAGCATCCATCTGGACAGGGATCGCAGTACGACATTTCCACAGAGAATTTTTACAAAAAGGAACCAAAAAATTAACGTTGCGGTGCTTGCGGGCTTTCGTTGACACTAATTGTGACAGTTAAGTGACAATTCAATCGTGGGTTGCTATATTCTGTTGGAAAGATCAAGCTACATACCGAATGCTCTGGGAGTAGAGAAATTAATGTAATGTGTAATTGCTTATAAAAATGAAATGAGATGTCATGTTTTTTGGATGTTATATTTACATCACGGAAAACCATATCACTGAAAACCAGCAGTGCCATACGCTTGTGCAGTTTGGTGTTTTATTGCCAAAACACCCATGCAAAATCTGCAGGTTCTACTAAGCAGGGCGTTGCTCACTGTGATCCAGATTAATCAAAATTACAGTATATTCAGATAAGAGATAGACCGGATGTAAACAAAAGGTTCGGGTGATTTTCACGCTAACGCCGCCGTCTCCACGTAAAACAGGAGCCCTCATTGGACAATTCGCAATTAAATGCCTATGCCGAGCGGCAGAGCAGTCGTATCAAGGCAGAGTCACATTCAGGTTCAGACGTGTTACGCATGTCGTGTGCATCATTGCAATTTGATATTTCTTTGGACGTTTTCGTTTGTTATCTTATTAAGTTGTTGAGTTTGTCGTTGTTATTGTTATACCTTGTTATTGATTGTTATTGTTATCAACTGCTTGCGCAAAATGCCCAGTAGTACAGATACTGCCGATGAAGTTGTAAACTCCTGTAGTCCACCTGTTTTCGATATTTCAATAATTTTTTAATATACTCTTAAAATATGTCGAATATTATAAACTTAAAAAAAGTTACAAAGTTTTATATTGTGTACCGTTCCTAATATTTCTAATCATTTTAATTCATACTTTAAGCTTTATAAAGTTATAATTTGTTAATATTAATATTTGCGCGTATTTCAGGTCCCTGATCATTCATTTTTTAAAGGTTTATAACTTTAAATTAAATTGTGAAGCGCTGAGTAATCATACGGCGTTCAATATTCTTTCTTTCAATATGACTAAATAATCCCAATTATAGCAATCTGATACTCATGTCTCAATGTTTTTTCGCTGAATGTGATGAAAACATTTGAAAAAGGTTCGCTTATTGAAATAAATCTACACCAGTTAGTACTTCGATTTCCAGGTAAAGGGAAAAGGCTCATTATCTGCCATATTGGCAGTGAGGATGGATTTGTTGTTGACGGTCTGTGGTGCTTTGGGTCTAAGAAAACTGGAGATTACCACGAGGAAATGAATGGCGAATCGTTTGAACAGTGGTTTTCAAAAATTTTACCGAACTTAGAGGAAAACGCAGTAATTGTGTTGGATAATGCGCCTTATCATTCTCGAAGAATGGAGAAGGTCCCAACAACGGCTTCAAGGAAGGTTGATATTCAAAATTGGCTCCGCTCGAAAAATATCAACTTTGAAGAAGCAATGCTGAAAGTAGAATTATTAAGAATTGTCAAGGATCACAAGGCGGAATATCAAAAATACGCCATTGACGAAATGGCAGCAAGTCAAAATAAAACTGTGCTCCGTTTACCTCCATACCATTGCGAGCTCAATCCCATTGAGCTCATGTGGGCAGAGGTTAAAAATTATATAGCTAAGCACAATACAACTTCGAAATTTTGTGACCTCAAAGGACTTTTCAAAGAAGCACTAGAATTAATAACAGCGCAAAAATGGGAAAACTGTATTAAGCACGTGAAAGACAAAGTTCAAAAGAGAATGTGGGAACTGGACAATATTTTAGAGGAACAAGTCGAGTCATTCATTATTGACGTTGGTGCTTCAGGCAGTAGCGATGATGAAAGCTCATCAAGCTCATCTTTCCAATAAAAGATGTCGTTCATCAAATTCGGTAAGTTATAAGTAATTATAAAGCTACTGTATTTTTTAATTAATTATTGACATTTTTGAACCCATTTTGGCAAAACCTATTCAAGAATCTACTTTCTGACAATGTTCAACCATGCACATTTTTTTACGTTTTGAACGTTTTAATTTGGTTACATATTTACCTAGAAATCAAAAAATATACTAATCAATATTCTAAAAGCAATTTTAAGAGATATACGATTATTTTTAATTTAGACTAATTTAAACGCCATTTTGAGATTATATTCGACTGTATTTCACCAAACATCAGGCGGCATCCAAAGCTGGAAATCGAAGCGAAAATTTTGAAACCCTTATGTATATTTACATCATTATATATTTCTTACCCCACCCCCACATGATCCTATATCCATCACCAATCGTATACACATCGAATTGTGCTAATTTACTACAAAGTTACGCAAAGCAGCATCTACTATCTAAAATATGTACTGCGTGACTCTTAATACGTCCCTGCCGAATGTTACAGCGTTCGATGATCACGTGGTCTTGTTTATGTCCGGTCTATCTCTTATCTGAATATACTGTAGAGCATTCTGACAAAACCCTTACAAAAACCAAATATTATTTTGTTTTTGACAGATGACGCGTGAATCGTGTCTTGTGTCATTGTCAAACTTGTTCAGTTTGGTCTATAATTTAACCATGAATCAACTTAGGAACGAACAACGCTTGCAAATTATTGAATTTTACTATCAAAATTCATGCTCGGTTAAGAGAGTGCATCGAGAACTGCTTCCAATTTATGGGCAATATGGTCGGCCTACTGAGGGAGCTATTTGGAAGCTTGTGACTAAATTTCGAACCCAGTTTACATTATTGGACATTAAACCACCAACACGCAGACGTAGAGTGAGGACTGAAGAAAATATTGCGGCTGTATCCGCCAGTGTTAGTGATGACCGTGAAATGTCGATTCGCCGCCGTTCGCAGCAATTGGGCCTCTGTTACTCCACTACGTGAAAATTTTGCGACAGGATTTGGGTGTAAAACCTTATAAGATACAGCTGGTGCAGGAATTGAAGCCACACGACCTCCCACAACGTTTTCCATTTGGTGAATGGGCGCTGGCAAAGTTGGAGGAAGATCCACATTTTTATCGAAAAATTGTGTTCAGCGACGAAGCTCATTTCTGGTGGAATGGGTACGTTAACAAGCAAAATTGCCGCTATCTGGAGTGAAGACCAGCCAGAAGCATTGCAAGAGCTTCCAATGCATCCCGAAAAAATCACTGTTTGGTGTGGATTATGGGCCGGTGGCATCATCGGGCCGTACTTCTTCAAAGACGACAATGGCCGGAACGTAACTGTGAATGGCGAGCGCTACCGTGCGATGATAACAAACTTTTTTTTGCCCAAAATGGAAGAGCTGGACTTGGCTGACATGTGGTTTCAACAAGACGGTGCCACATGCCACACCGCACACGAAACAATGGCCCTATTGAGAGGCGAGTTCGGTGAACAGTTTATCTCACGTTTGGGGCCAGTCAATTGGCCGCCTAGATCGTGTGATTTAACGCCGTTGGACTATTTCTTGTGGGGCCATGTTAAGGCTAATGTCTACAGGGATAAACCAGCAACGATTGACGCACTGGAAGCCAATATTGAAGCATTTATTCGTGAGATACCGGCCGATATGTTGGAGAGAGTGCGCCAAAATTGGACCTTGCGCATGGGCCATCTAAAGCGGAGCCGCGGCCAACATTTATATGAAATAATCTTTAAACATTAAATTATATGGACCGTTCTATCGACTCAAATAAAGATTTAATCGTTTTTTCAAATTTTGTTGTTTTTTTTGAAAATCAAATCCTATACCTCTTAAAAAATCACCCGTTATTATTCGTGTATCAAAACCATTCTTAAAACAAAACAGCATTCAAAATTACATCTACGCCAGAAATAATTTAGATGAACTATGGGTCATACCAAGATTCTGGGTGGACAGGCGTCGCTAGGTGGACAGACAGGCACAAACAGGTAATCAATCTTAGCCATGGGGGCTGGAACCGCATACGGTAACAATCTACAGGGGTAAGTTAGACCTTGATAGACGCTGCGGAAAGAAGGACAGCAGCAAGCATCTCGGGGACGGGGGATGATCGGTTCTGTAGGCATTTTCACTGGAAATTTCGAAGATGAGCGTGAGGACAAACTGGGATTGACAATTTAGTGACAAACAACCATCAAACTGTATGTTTTGTATCAGTAATATAGAATACTGGGCGATGAATAGCAGATCAATAACATTGATCAACAGCCAAAAAATATCCTAAATAAAATCAACAAAATATTACTATTTTTAATGTGCTAAAACCGGAATGAAACTTATTTTTTCAATATTAGTTCAAGTTTTAGAGATACGGTAATAATATGTGTTCCTGCTGTGACAGTGTTAATATACTGTAATTCACAAGAATGCACGTGCTACATTTTTATATTCGGCAAGGAAAGATGATGTAATCGGCATGATTGTGTTACGTTATACATACGTGTACATTATATTGTTTTATATTAGCCATTTTTTCCTCAGTTGGCTGACAGCGTTCATGCAAGATGTCTCGAAAGTGTGTAAACAATATATATATATATATATATATATATATATATATATATATATATATATATATATATATATATATATATATATATAACAATACATGTGCTTCAAGTTCCTAGGAGTTGGTTAAATGGCAAAAAACGGTCTATGCGCTTTGCTGTCCCAATGGTTTGGAGAGAGCCTACAAATCATATTAATGATTGTTACTTTTGCATGGTACCTTGTGTTGGACAAGCCACAGGTATGTCCAAGAAAAAAAAATCGGTTATTAACTACCCAAACATACCATCTGCGATGAGACCTGTGCCTCACAGTGACGAAAATCCTATTCCAAAACCCCCAGAATCCTACACTTGCGAATCAGAAAACGAATCAGATCATGGCGATCGAGTGATTCGTCAGGAAGAAGATATGCCATCAACATCAAGAGATCCTGATTTTATACCGAGCACGTCATGCCACCAACCGCACAAAATAACACAGTCAGAATTAAATGATCTTGTAAGAGATTTAGAACTTCCAAAATGTAAGGCAGAGTTACTTGGATCAAGACTGCAGCAGTGGAACTTGTTAGAAGACGATGTTTCGGTATGTGTTTTTCGTAAACGCCACAAAGACTTAGAACCATTTTCCAATATGGAGAATAACTTGGTTTTCTGCAGTAACATTAACGGCTTACTGGCGGCTTTAAATATAAACTATAACCCAGAAGAATGGAGATTGTTTATAGACAGTTCAACATTGAGTTTAAAGGCAGTGTTATTGCTTATTGGAAATATTTTACCATCTCTTCCTGTAGGGTATGCAGTTCACATGAAAGAATCATATGACAATATGAAGTACCTATTGACATGCATAAAATACGATGAGCACAAATGGCATATTTGTGGCGATTTGAAAGTTGTTGCACTTTTACTTGGGCTGCAGCTAGGCTACACAAAGTTTTGCTGTTTATTGTGTGAATGGGACAGTCGGGCAAAGGCACTTCATTACACCAGACAAAACTGGTCTGTTCGTCAATTCCTAGAGCCAGGTCAAAAAAATGTACAGCATATGCCATTAGTAGATTCGAAAAAAAATTTATTACCACCACTGCATATCAAGTTGGGCCTAATGAAAAACTTTGTCAAGGCATTAGATAGAGATGGGTCAGCTTTTCAATACCTGCGTCAGAAATTTCCAATACTAAGTGAGTTAAAGAAGGTATTTTTTTGGGCCACAGATTCGAAATATTTTGAAAGATACACAGTTTGAAAACACTTTAACAGGTATTGAAAAAACTGCTTGGAATGATTTCTGTCTGGTGGTCACTAATTTCTTGGGAAATAGAAAAGCTGACAACTATAAAACCCTTGTCAAAAATATGCTGTCATCGTATTAAAAGATGGGCTGTAATATGTCTCTTAAGATACATTTCCTACACACACATCTGGACTTTTTTCCTGACAATTGCGGAGCCGTAAGTGATGAGCACGCCGAACGTTTTCATCAGGATATTTCAACAATGGAAAAAAGGTACCAGGGAAAGTGGAATCCTTCCATGCTTGCAGACTACTGTTGGACTCTTGGTAGAGATGCTCCAGAAACGATCCATAAAAGAACAGCAAAAAGACAGCGCATATAGTGATTCTTATAAGTATATGAATCTTGTTACTTTTTTAATATATCCTTAAAAATAAAAAGTTTTTTTTCTAAACCGCAACTAATTTTTTTATTTCATTGTCATTTTTGGATTCAGCGCCCCAAAATTAACAAAGAAGTGCACTTTTCCCACAAGATACAATTAAAAAACTAAAATTTGTTGTCCAGTGAATCACTAATCAACAAAAAGAAAATGTTCTATAACGTAAATAATTTCATGTTTCATGTCCTTTGAGCAATAAATAATAAATAAATTCAAGTAAAACATTTCTACCACGTCACCATTTTATGATATATCAATATTTGTATAGCGCCGTCTTTAGGCTGGAGCGGTTTTTTCTTATTTTTACGAAAACAATGTAGGAAAAAACACAACAGTAATTATTTGTATTAAATCGAAGGTAAAAGCAGTGGCGTACTATTTTTATTTGGATAAAATTTCACTAATCCCCTGTATCTCCGCCACTGGTGCATGTTAATTTTAGGTAAAGACTTTTGAATGTGAACAATACTTAGATAAATCCACATACCAAATTTTAGTTCATTCCAGTTGGCAGGATTGAAGATATTAAAAAAAAATGTGTTTTATTCTTAAACTTCAATCAATCAAGCTTCTTCATGAAACCCTTGAAGGAAAAACGTTACATAGAAGACCCCCCTTAAAATGCGGTCCTGTGTATGATCTTTCATTTTTAGTCCCGACTTCTGAAGCACCCTGTATGTAAAATTCCCTCACTGCTTGTCAATAGGTTGCACCTTGGCTAAGTAATATATTATAGAATTAGGTTTTATTGACCACCAGAATTTAAGGCTAAAAGGAGCCATGAAGATTGAAATATGCAGCGCTTTCCAAATAAGGTCCTATCCCCACTTACTTTTTGTACATGTCAAGTTGGAAAGCTTGAATTCGGGGTGAATAAGTTGATACATGAAGAATATGCCAACTTGTAACAACTTTTAGGACCTTTTTACTGAAATGAGGGATCATAAGATATCATATTTTGAAGCTATAAGTAGGTAATTTAATTTAAAACTTACTCGAAAGTCTTACAAAAAGTTATTACTGAAGCCAAAAAGATGTCTAACCAGAGTTACATTCGAGAATCTGAAAATACTCGTAAAATAAGAGCAACATGGAAAATATACTAAGTGACATATAAATCCGAACACTAAGTTTAAATGGTTTTATTTTAATAAAAGTTGGTGAATGTACTTATCTTACTGTAAATAACAAGTGAAAAAATTTTCAGCCTTATCAGTTGGACATTCCGGTTTTTATACTGCTTTTTTTTAATTCACTAACGTTCTAAAAATGAATATTTCAGCCGCAGTAAAGAATCAACGTTGGCGAATTTTGGTTCTTGATATCCTTTACGATCGGTTACGATGCCTAGAGTACGGAGACCTGTACGATTTCGTCAACTTAGTGAGTTTGATAGGGGCCGTATAGTGGGACTTCGGGAAGCTGGACTTTCTTTTCGGGCAATTGCAGTTAGAGTGCAAAGAAGTGTAGACACTGTGGTTAGGTGTTGTCAGGCATGGCTTCGAGAAGGCCGTACGCAAAGAGCAAGGGGCACTGGACGCCGCCGTAGAACAACAGACCGTGAAGATCGCCGCCTAAGATTATTGGCCTTAAGGGACCGTTTCTCTACTACCAGGTCCATTGCAAATGAATGGTTTGCAGAACACGGAAGACCTATTGGCATGCGAAGTGTTTACCGACGAATGAGAAGTTTTGGCTTGTTTTCATACCGGCCACACTGGGTCCTCCCTTTAACTCGAGAACACCGACGTAATCGCTTTGAGTGGTGCAGACAACGGTCACTCTGGGATCAGGAATGGAACAGTATTGTCTTTAGTGACGAGTCTCGATTTTGTTCAGGCGTGCACGATGGTCGTGCCAGGGTTAGAAAGCGACGTGGTGAAAGGAGGAATCCACAGTTTTTTGTTGAAAGACATGTTCATCACACTGTTGGAGTTATGGTTTGGGGTGCTACAGCTTATGGTTCCAGGTCACCTTTAATCTCCATCAGAGGTAACATGAACGCGCAGCGTTATATCCACGAAGTTCTATAACCCCATCTTTTACCCTATCTTGACACCCTGGCAGATCCAACTTTCCAACAAGATAATGCCCGACCACATGATGCAAGAGTCACAATAGACTTCTTTCAACATAATGATGTCACATTGTTACCATGGCCACCAAGATCTCCTGACTTATCCCCAATTGAGCACGTGTGGAATATGATGGGTAGGAGATTGCTCAATTTGCAACGTCCTCCTCAGACTCTAGAAGCACTTCGAGAGGAGTTGGTGGTTGCCTGGAATGAGATACCACAGGAGGACATTGACCACCTGATCAGAAGCATGCCTAGGCGCGTTGGAGAATGCGTAGCACATCAGGGTGCATCCACACATTACTAAAGGTCAAAGGGCTTTAAAGCAGTGCAATCATTTTGAAATTTTTATCATTTACTTATTATGCTTCATTAAGTACTTATAAAAAATTTTATTAAAATAAAACCATTTAAACTGGGTGTTCGGATTTATATGTCACTTAGTATAGTAAAGAATATAAGGGATAATGACTATAGTAGAAAATCAGTTTTGGATTGTTTTTCACAAAAATATGATGACCCATTGTTAATAATTTAAATAATTTTTTTGTCAATGCTTGCCCTGATACAACTGTTAGTCAAAGAGAGGTCTTTTCCTGCGGAGGACGGGTCGCTTAAATTTACCTTGAGCCTACAAATAAGAATCAAGTCCTCAAAGTAATAAATTCTCTGAAGAATAACAAGTAGGTGGGAGATGATGCAGTTTCAGTAAAAATCATTAAGGAAATTGCAAATAAAATTAGTGAACCATTGCCTTATTTTAGCAACAAAGTTTGGTCAAATCAATCGCAAACTATGTACTAAATTCCTATTTAAAATAAGTACGAGATATTTCCTTACCTTTCTTCAAGAAATAACTTTTTTGCCACCAAAAAAAAAACGGTCCAATAGCTATTTTCAACAACAAAATGATAAACAAACCATGGGCGTAGTGAAGAAAAGCATTTACTTATTAGGTAAATTCTTTTAGTCAATTTTCTTCTGAAAGTAGTACAAACTAATCTGATGTATCTATTAAGGTCTACTTTAAGCTTTAAATCAATAAATCTGCAAAACTACTGAACCAAAGCACATGTATTTTACATCATTATAAAGGGAATTGAAAGATCTTTAAAATAAGGTATCACTCGACCCCCCTTTCCGTTTAAGATTTTGGGGTTGGTGTCACCCCCGCCCAGGGGCTGCACGTGTTAACGTGATTTTTTGCCAAACTTGTGTCCCTCTCGAAAACAAAATCGACGGGTCTGAGCGTTTTTCCAAAAAATAAACTGAGCTGCCAGTAAATGCGTCTGTTTCGTTTTCGATGCGCCACCCTGTATAACGCGTTCCCTGAAACTGTTCGGAACCTCCCACTGGTCCGTCTAAAAAATGTATTGAGCACTTATCAGCCAAGGCATTTTATTCGCTTGCTGAATTTTTTACTGATAATAGAAACAGCTAGTGTTTAGGAATAACGAAAAGTAGTAATGTAGACTATTGTTTTTTTGTTTTTTTTTGTCTAAGCTGGTTATCTCGTTTGACTTGTATGAGTAGGTTTGAAACGATGGCAATGAAAAGAATTTGTAAATGGTATCACCTTTATTTTTAACAGTGTTCTATAGCTAGCTTTAAGCTTATTTTATTGTAACTTGTCTGTTACTTTTAGAACAAATAAAATCTATCTATCTATATCCCTAGGATATAAATTCACTATCTTTCTAAGTTGCGGATTGACGCACTGTCAAATGTGAGAGATTTTGTACTTTGAATCGCTTATAGCTGAAGAAAAAATAACAAATCGTTAAAGCATTTCATATCAATTGTCTTCTCATAGAAGAATCTATCCGAATATGTAATAAAATGCGGAAGATTCTATTTACAAGAATCTATCAAAATCTGACATTCTTTAAAACGAATTTCCAAAATGAATTGCACATTCAGATATAGAGGGTTTGTCCGGAAAGTAATAGGACTGAGTCGATTTAAAAAAATTTATTGAGCCAATCGTTACAATTCTTTAAAAACTTTCAAAATAGGCTCCTTCTGCGTCGATGCAGCGATTTCCAAGCATTGCAGGCGTCACGGAAGGCATTCTCCGGAATAGCCTTGAGAGCCGCGGTGCATGCTGCTTGGATCCCCTCTGTCGTCTCAAAATGCTTGCCTTTCATCGGCCTTTTCAGGCGAGGAAACAAAAAAAAGTCCGGAGGGACCACATCTGGGCTGTAGGGCGGCTGCGGAAGCGTTGGGATGCCGGCCTTGGTCAGGTAGCTGTTCACAAGAAAGGCGTTGTGAGCCGGGGCGTTGTCGTGGTGCAACTTCCAGTCGGCTGCGATGTCTTGTCGGACCAGACTGACCCTTCGTTTGACTCTCCTGAGCATTTCCACGTAAAACTTGGCGTCGACGGTTTGTCCAGGAGGAACAAATTCATGGTGGATGATGCCTTTGATGTCAAAAAAGACAATGAGCATCGTTTTCACTTTGGATTTGCTCATTCTTCCCTTTTTTGGGCGAGGAGTCGCCACTCGGAAGATTGCCTCTTTGTCTCGGGATCATACTCAAAGATCCACGACCCGTCACCTGTGATTACGTTATTCAAAAATCGGGGGTCACTTTCACACGTGTTCAAACTGTCTTGGCATACTTCCACTCGCCGCAATTTCTGGTCGTCAGTGAGCACTTTTGGGACCATCTTCGCGTACACCTTGCGCATGTTCAAATGCTGTGTCATGAACCACAGATTTAGGTAAATTTAACATCTGGGCCATTAAACGAATACTTAGTCGACGGTCTGAGTTCAAAACTTTGCGCACACGAGTCACATTATCGGTGTTTGTCGAAGTCGAAGGTCTACCAGCAGGGTCTTCATCAGCGACCTCTTCCCGGCCCTCCAAAAAGGCCTGGTGCCACCGAAACACACCACTTCTTGCTAAAGCAACACCTGGGTAAGCCTGCTTGGTCATATCAAACGTCTCTGTCGCAGATTTAGCGAGTTTCACAAAGAATTTAATCGCGTACCTCTACTCTAACGAACGCTACATTTTCGGCTTGCACCACTCACAGAAACACGTCGCGCGAAAATGCCTGTCCTGACTTTCCAAGTGCTCGGAGACAACCGACCAGCCGCTCATTCGTTAGCTAGGAACGCCCTCTACCGAATCCAGTCGGTGCGCGCATGCTCCAAAGTACAGTCGGAAGAAGATGAGTCCTATTACTTTCCGGACAAACCCTGTATATCATTCCAAAATAAGAAGATTGACATAGCAACCTATATCGTTTTTATGATTAGTCTATAAGCAATTGAATGTACGAAAACGCTCTTGACAGGTCGCCAGGCTACTATTTTGACATGACGATTCTGTCTTCTATGGTTGTAAAGTGTTTATGGAGAGCTTCAAAATGAGGTATCAGATGACCCCCACTCTTTTTAAAAATGTCGTAAGATGGCTCTCAGTCGAACTGAAATTAAATGGATTTGCTGTAGGTGTTTCTTTGTTCACGATCGTTGATATCAATCTCATTTGAACCTTGAGATTACAGATGTATTGTAGGATATGAGTCCACTAGGGCAGTAGAGACAAGCCCCGAAAACTTTAATTTTTTTTCAGACGTGTGCCCATCAACTTTAGCAAAACAGAAGAACGTAACGAATTTTTTATTCACAAGTTGCATGTTACATAATTTCGTCTTATTACAATATTCACTAGCATTTTAAAGCTCAACACTTTCTTCATAGATCAACAACAATTTGGTATCTTCACAACGTAGTTAACAAAACTTAAGCAGCTGTCTGTAGACTAGGTAAGTACTCGAAAATCTGTAAAAAATGCCGTTCTACTAAACTTTGTTATGTCAGGTTCGCTCAAAAATGAAGAGCTGCCCAGTAGTGTCTCAAAAGTCCTCAAAATTGGACACAAAATCATGCTAAATATGCAAATTTTAACGTCCAATCAGGAGGCCACGCCCTGCCCTCCTCTCTTAGATTCCCAAGTTTGCCATTTTTCCACGAAAATGGTATATATTCCTGAATCTTCGTGTAAAAATTGCCTTGCTAGACCTGAATCGTGAGAAATGCCCGCCCCCTCTAGACGTATCCCACCCCCACTCTTCAATTGTCTCAAGAGCATTTGCTCTGAGTGCTGCTTGAGTGCTTAAGCATGCAACCGCCTTGCTCTGCGATTCTTAATCTCCGCTACTATCGGTATGAAAGGCTTCCGAGACTGCCCGATAGAGAAGAGTCTTCAACCAGTTGGACACCCCTCCTTTGAACAGCATCGACATAGATTATGTAGTCTGAGCGGCAGCACCCCGAACATGTGAGCAATACTCGAGGCTAAGTACGTAAAACTATACCTTCACAAGTATCATCAATGTGATATACAACAGCGATCCTCAGTCCTTCTATTTTGAGGTGGTAGATTAACTCTCTGGTGCTCGCCGTTACCATTTCCATTTCCATAACTATTTTTGGGGACACAACGATCCGGGCATGGTCCGCAACATGCTGGTACAAGTGGAGGCAAGAAGAACGGTATGGTGTTCACCTGTTGGTAGAAGGTCTGGAAAGAATCACACCTTAAAAGATCTCGCACAAACCTATGGGGAATGACTTTCGGCTGTTTTTTAATCTAGCATATTGTAGTTCAGACAATGGCTCAAAGGTGTTTATAATAATAATAATAATCCGAGTTTATTTACACAAAGTATAAAAAGGCGAAGTGTCGCTAAAAAGCGTTTTTCAACTTAACCCAACAAATATTTATGTAAATTATCTAATCCCAATGATATCAAAAAAGTTAAAAAAAAACCTGTAACGAGATAAAATGCTTCAATCTTTTTTTGAAATTATAGAGTAGTGAGTGAACTCGGTAGGCAATGCACAAATATTTTAAATGTATTCCCAGTGATACCAATAAGGATAATCTTGAACTGCTTTTGAAAAGTGTGTGTCTTGAAGCAGTACTAGATTCATGCAAGTGTGGCAGCAATTCAATGTTGCTACACCAGCGAATAGGGATGTGATAAGAAATGAAATGAATATGAAGTAGGTATAAAGTATCATGTACAAAATCTCCAATACTCTATTGCAAAAAATGGGAATGGGCTGATCAACTTGGAGGTCTTGAACCCCAGAATCTACTCGTGGTCTAACTTTGAGCTGCTGAACGTATTGAAATGTACAACACACTGAGTTGTAATAAATAGCCGAAAACCATCATCCATGAGGTATCTCAGCGTTACAAAACATTTGCTCTGCCTATACTAAGCCATAAACCTTTTTAAAACTTTTGAAGGTAAGGATGCCATGGCCACCTCTTTTGAGACCTGATGGGCGAAGGAAAACATTTTTCATGAAATAAATATGTTAAATAAAGCATCGATGCCTAACAGGCATGTTACGAGTATTTCAGAAACTTGAAAATATTTACCTGGAATGGCATGTCAGGCAAGCAGTAGGGCACATAGTCGATGGGGTAAATAATGGGTGGTTTTTCCTCCTTCCTTTTAGGTGGACAGAAAGGAATCGGGCAGGGCATACAACACCGAGGACGGCATTTCTGATCCTTACCCATTATGAAAAACTACAGAAAATTTTGAAGAATAGCCGAAAATGAATTTCAAATTTTGATTTGACTTGTGTCTTGTTAATAGGTGTCTTGATTTTTATCAAACGCCAACGATCCGTTATACAGAGTGTTCCTTAATGATATGCAAATATTTAAAGATGTGAATCTACATGAAAAATTAATGTTAATTTGCTTTATAGACTATGGTCCAAAAATGTTTCCTTACAAAAACTCGGGGTGTTGAAGTTTTAGGAAAAAAATGGAAAATTAATTAATATTTTCAGAACCGCTTTAGATATTTCACTGATGTTTTGTAGGTAGCGAAAGTTAATAAAGTTGCATATTTGTCAATGTAAAAATAATTTTTAGCTTTAACAGTGGCGTGCGTACGGGAATTGACTTTGATATTTTTTAAGAAAAGAATGAAATAAAAATTATTTTTGAATTCCCGTTCAATTTAAAACAAATGATCTTTGAATTATTTTCGTTCGATGCGCCGTTTTTGAGTAAAAAAATAAAAACCGTTCTATTTTCTAACTTGCAAAATTATTATTAATTTAATTGGAAAAAAGAGATACATACCCGAATTTTCGTTTTCGTTTTTTTTCTCCGCACGTCGATTATCCAGAAAGGATTACAATCGAAAAAATTGATTTTGCAATGAAGACTAGTTTAGGGGATTTGAGACCCTTTGAGTTTAGAGGCCTGTATCCATTGAGATATTTGTTAAGGTCAACAAGATGGATAACATATAAAACATCCAGCGAACCTAACCGAAACCCCTTTTCTCATAGCCCTGTTGCGAGAAGATTTCATCTATAACTGATAATACCTGAAATTTTCGTCTACTTTTTACAGATCTTGCTCACTGAGAGGAAGTGTTCACGATACTAGCAAAAATCTCTTGACGGCGCTCAAAATTAGGTGCCAAGTGTTAAGATAGCTAAAAACGAATTAAATATCGATTCATAAAAAATCTAAATGGCGGATCCAATATGATGGATATGTTTGGAAAAAATAAATTGTCGATTGCGCTCAAATTACAGTTTCATATGTTTTGAAGGTTATAATTGATGTATTATTGTATAATGTCTTGCAGTCAGTTGCAGTCAAAAAGGACATATATACACACACTAGGTGTGTGATAAACATGCTAATATTCCTAACAGAGCGGGCTCTTATCGGGTTATTTAAACTCTTTTTGACTTCAGTTTGTATCTATTTATCGTATATGTAGTACATACAGGGTGGCGCATCTAAACAGACGCATTTACTGGCAGCTCATTTTTTTTTGGAAAAACGCTCAGATCCGTCGATTTTGTTTTCGAGGGGGACACAAGTTTGGCAAAAAAACACGTTAACACGTGCAGCCCCCTGGGCGGGGGTGACACCAACCCTAAAATCTTAAATGGAAAGGGGGTCGAGTGATACCTTATTTTAAAGGTCTTTCAATTTCCTTTATAATGATGTAAAATACATGAGGTTCAGTTCAGTAGTTTTGAAGATTTATTGATTTAGAGCTTAAAGTAGACTTTAATAGATACATCAGATTAGTTTGTACTACTTTCAGAAGAAATTTGACTAAAAGAATTTACTTATTAAGTAAATGATTTTCTTCACTACCCCATAGTTTATCATGTTGTTGTTGAAAATAGCTATTGGAGCGTTTTTTGTGGCAAAAAAGTTATTTCATGAAGAAAGATAAGGAAATATTTTAAATAGGAATTTAGTACATAGTTTGCGATTGATTTGACCAAATGCCAGATGTATTGATCTCCACTAATGATGATGTATTAGTTTTATTTAAGCTTTAAATCAATAAATCTTCAAAACTAATGAACTGAAGTACATTAATTTTATATCATTATAAAGGGAATTGAAAGACCTTTAAAATGAGGTATCACTCGACCCCCCTTTCCATTTACGATTTTAGGGTTAATGTCACCCCCGCCCAGGGGGCTGCAAGTATTAACGTGATTTTTTGCCAAGCTTGTGTCCCTCTCGAAAAAAAAATCGACGGGTCTGAGCGCTTTTCCAAAAAAAAACTGAGCTGCGAGTAAATGCATCTGTTTCGTTTTCGATGTGCCACCCTGTATATGGTTTTGTATAGGATATGCATATTAGACTTCTCTCATCAAGTGAAAAAAAAAACAATTTGATTATATAAATATATTTATGAATACTTGATCTAAAATAACATGATCATTAATAGGATAAGTACAATTTTCATTTTATCTACTATTCATTAGGGGAACGTGGTTTTTTAGTGACTGCATTCGCACTCGGGCGAGGAAAACCCCTAGAAAACCTCAACCGTCACTGAAGATGAATTGTATCAGGTGAAGAAAAATCAAGTCGTTCCGTAATTCTGGGTTCATTTGCACAATCGAAAATCGCCAGCATGCCTCAGTTATTAACCTAAAAAAAAGTGGCATTGAAGTAACGGTTTATACGAGGGCTATTTTTTAAGTAAGAACCGTTTTGTAATCAGATAAATTTTATTTTTTCCCTTGGACACCATAAAATTACGCTAAAAAATGGTAGATTTTTCTGTGAAAGAAAAACGAATAAACACAATGCAAAGTAATATTTTTTCAACAAAAATCATTTTTGCAGTTGAAAAGATCCTCGTCTTCAGCTCAGATTTTTGTTGCCACTAACACTCGTGCTGCTTGTAGAATATTGCTTAGCAACGTGTTTTTTCGATTTTTTTTTCAAAAAAATTAGGTACACTTCATGATGTTACCCATGATAATCCCCCATAGGCCAATCCGAATTGCATGTGTGTTGAAAAAAAAACTTTATTTTGTCTAGTCCGAAATAATTGTAGGGTCTGGTTTTATTGGTGCAAGTTGCTCAAGGGGGTATTTAAAACATGGACGCATAAAATGGCTACACCAATGTTTGTCGGAAAACTTTTTAGTTGACAACAAAGAATGATTCGATCAAAAGTGTTGACAGGAACGAAAAAACTTTTCATATAAGATTTTTACGTATTTATGAGATCTACAAAATGAAACCACACGTAAAAAGGTCCGGCTAACAGGAAAAATGTTATGGCCGAAAAACGAGGCAAAATGCAAGTTTTGGCGCTTGTTGGTAATGCGACGATAATTTCACGCAACTTCTTGAAATTCTTCAAATCCGAAGGATTCATACTTCTAAATAACAACAACAAAATTAGATTCTATGGGTCAGGTAGCTTTTTGAGAATTTCTAGTTGTTTATCCCAAACACCTGTTCTCCGGCCATCATTACTATTGAGCAATATACATCCTGTGGTTTTCATATCGGCTATTTCCCTCATCTTCATTTCTACCAGTTACATTTTTGATTACAAATGGTTTCTAGATGGAAAAATTAGTAAGACAGCACCTGTCAGCAGTTTTTTCGAGCTGGCCCGCGGCATGACAGCTGTTGTCACCAAAAATTGCAATACCATTGATATTCATGGTGCGCAATTGGTTCTTACTTTAAAAACGCCCCTCGTAATTCACCAACTTCTTTCTGATAAAAGTGTTAGAAAAATAAAATTTGGTGAAAGCTTCCTTCTGTGGCGCCGCTGCTTTTTGCAATAGGTTTCAAAAGTTATACGGGGTGTTCAAAAAATAGACGTTCCTTGTTAAAATTATTTATAAAAATCAATAAACCAATTCTGTCCAGTGACATCCGATGAAGCGGTTTATATTTTTTGTTCTCGAAAACGAAGTGAGACACGAGATACAAGATGCAAGGAGCTTGTATATTTAGATGCTTAATCAAGCAACAAATATTACATTTACAAAAAAGGCAGTGGTGTACATTTGTTTTCCAATAATATTCGCTAAGGTGCCCCCGGTACGCCATTAGACCTAATAATTTTTATCTATTTAGGTCTAGATGAGCCTCTTAATACAAAAAATAACACTGTCAAATGTCAATAGAATTGAGTTAATGGTTTTTGAGATATTAATTAAAAAATAATTAAATTCATATTTTTTAACAAGGAATCAACCTCTGGAATATCTCTCTATTTTTCGATTACCCTGTATTTCTCGATAAGCTTGACTTATCGGGTGAGGCGTCAGTAAAACATGAAGAATAAATAAATTCAAGATTATGTAAAAAATACCTATTCAATTGATGTTCGTTCTGCATGTATCAGCCTGCAATCATCTTCAAGGGCGTGAAGAGATATAACCTTTGGCGTCATTATGTTACTTTCCCAAATATGTCCCTGAATTTCTTCAAACGTATGGAAATCGTGAACGTTTTTACAAGCTTTTGCTTGGAATCTGGCTGCAAGTATTTCGTAAAACTTCATCAATATATTGACCAGTAGACCGTACTACTATTATCCACACATTTATCTGCAAAGAGAGTTTACATAAGTACATTTAAATAACACCTGTGCTTATTTTGAAACATCAAGAAGGTTGAATCTGTATTTCATGGAAAATAGCATACAGTACAGTTTTGATTGGAAAGCGCTTGGCCTTCTTAGGGTAAGTTTCGAACATATATATCTTGCGGCGTTTTTAAGATCCTCAACAGTTTTATATATACTTCAGTGGTTCGTCAAGATCAAATCCAACCTTCTTGATGTTGTACTCTCCAATGCTTACCCTGTAAAAATTTTGATGTTCGTTTGATTGCTGTCTTCATATATTGCTGTATAAATCGGGGGCTTTAATCATTCTTAACATGCTTTTATTGTTCCTCTTCAATCTACTCGTGTATGCCCATGAAACATTCATCCAGATATCCAGGCAGAACATCATCAATATTCATTATATCACGTTTATCACGCTCGGGAGTGTCTATAACTTGAACCATTCCTGAAATTTGGAGTGTCCCCCTCCAAAGCTCGATAAAAATATTTGGGCTATAATTCTGAAAGAAAGCCTGAAAGTTTTAGGACAGCAATTCTGTAAAATACTTAGCTCAAAATAGATATGTTCGTAAAATATGCACCTAAAAAAAAGTAAATACCAAATGTGAGTTAAAATTAAAATTATAAAGACTTCATCATTATCATCAATATTTATCATAGTTCATCACACTTCCTGAAATACGAAGTGTTCTCACTCTTTCCTAAAAGCTGAAACAAACTAAGAATAACACTTGCGCTACGATTT